GAGGTGAGCAACAATTTCCCTGGGAAGTGGGGCCGGGAGCGGCATCCCTGCACAAAAATGTTCAAAACGAGCGCTCGACCGGGCACGCTCGGCCCGGGCGCGCTCAGCCCGCGATCCACTCGTGCCGCAGCGCCTCGGCGGGGGTCAGCCGCTCCTCCGGGCGCCAGCGCAGGCAGGCCGCGACGAAGCGCACGAAACTCGCGTCCCGGCCCACGACGCCGCCCAGCGCGCGCGTCAGCGTGACGCTGCCGGGGCGGTGCAGCATGTCCTTCCCCAGCAGCGTGGTGCTCCGCGGCTCGCCGCTCTCTGCGGGGCGGGGGCCGAGGCAGGGGAGGGCGGGGGTGATCACGCAAGGATTGATTGCTCGGGAGATGGGGAGGGGGGGGATTGGGGGCGCCTGTGGAAGCCATCGACGTGGGAGGCCACGGTCAACACACCAGTCCCGAGCTGCCCAGGTGTACCCCTGCACCAGCCCGCCCTTGGATGCACCCTCCTGTCAACCACCGCCCTCACCGGGGTCGAAGAATATGGGCGCCCGTGCAGAGTACAGGGCAATGTCGCTGGGCGGTTTGCCCAGCACCTCCATGATACATGCCAGCTGCTCCTTCTCATCCTCCCCTGGCATGGCGGAAGGGTGGGGGGCCCTGGGCCGCCGATGACCGGCCAGAAGGGCACCGTGACGCCCAGCTGCGCCGTTCCTCCCAGCCAAGACGCCAGCCAGGGTTCCCAGCCCAGCAAACGAGAGGGTGCCCACCCGCAAACCACCACCTTCCCGCGCCTCACCTGGGAACAAGGGGGCGCCCGTCCTGAGCTCTGCCAGCACGCAGCCCAGGCTCCACATGTCGATGGCGTGTCCGTAGGGCTCGCCCAGGATGACCTTGGGAAGAAAGGGGGTACTGAAAATGAGAGGGACACTGGAACAAGGGTGCAGGCGGCCTCACGGCATGCCGGGGCACCCTCTAGGCCACCTGATGCACTCCATTGCCCTCTGCAGAGCCTGCCCAATCCCCGCCCTCTAGATGCCACCCCCTGCCTCACCTCCGGCGCGCGGTAGAAGCGCGACTGGATGTATGTGAAGGCTCGCTTGTCTTTGAAGCAGCTGCTCCCAAAGTCGATCAGCTGCAGGGAAGACGGGGGGTGGCGTTTGGGAAGGGAACATTGTCATCCAAAAGGTCATGCCTATTCGGGCACGCAGTGGCCGGCCGGCGATGGATGTCCATGCGGCATGGCCGTCCCGGAGCCCCTACCTTGACGTCGCTGCGCTTTCTATCCACCAGCATGATGTTCTCGGGCTTTATGTCGCAGTGCACAATGCCGGCCCGCACCAGGGCCTCCAGCGATGTCAGCACCTGGACAGCCACCCTGCGCACCAGCAGCGACCCACAACCCTGCGGACAATGGAGTTTGAAAGGACACGGGTGGGGAGGGGTGCGAGCGCAGAGCTATGTGTCTGCATGAACATGGGTAGAATCGAGCGGTGGACGAGGCACACCAATGACATGCGCCACACCCAACCCTCCTCCCACCACCACCAGGCTGCGCCTGTCCCACCCACCAGCATTCGGCGCTCCTGCAGCAGCTCGTACAGGTTGATGGACAGCAGCTCAAAAGCGATGCACAGGTGTCCCCTGAAGGAGAAGCAGCCCAGCGCCGCCACGATCCCGGGGCAGCCGCCCTGCGAGGACAGGTGCGACGCATGGGGGTTGAGGGGAGGGGACTGTCCAGGACTTGAGAAAGAAACCTGCTTCAACGTGTCGCCATTCCAGGAGCAGCCACCACAACCACTCTGCGCTACAAGTCAAAATGCCACGCAGGTCCCTCTCAGCAGCACGCCCCCGGTCCTCCTCTCCCACACCCTCACACTTCACAGAAAGGAGACGCCTCCCCCCCAACACACCCACACCCACACCTGCAGCCCCTGGAGCAGGCTCAGGATGCGCGTCTCCACCAGCGCCTGCTTCTGGAACCGCTTGCGCCCGCGCATGACCTTGAGGGCGACGGGGCGCCCGCCCGCGGCGTGGTCCGCGCAGCACAGCACCTGGCCAAAGGAGCCCTGGCCCAGGACGCGCTGGACCTCGTAGCGGTAGGCCACGTGGTCCCCCGCCACCGCCACGTAGTCCCCGCGCTCGTCCACGAACACGGGGTCGGGGTCCAGGCCCGGCGCGTGGTTGGCCGTGACCTTGGCCACGCCCGGCGCGCCCACGAACCAGACCCGGGGGTAGGCCAGCACCTCCGCGCGCTCGTAGGCCGTGAGCAGGTGCCCGTGCAGGGCCAGCGCCTCGGCGGCCGCCATGTGCGGCCGCGGGGCGGGCGGCGCGGAGAGCGAGGGCGCGGAGGCCGACGAGCGGTGCACCGCGATGCCGGCGGGGGCGGGGGCGGGGGCGCCGGTCACCAGGTCCGGGCCCCAGCCGGGGGGCGGGTGGATGGAGTGGAGGCCTGCGAGTGCATGGGAGGGGGGAGGGAGGGGGTGGCTTTGCTGATGCAGGCGTGTTGCGTGAAGGGGCCGCGGGGTGGCAGGCAGGTGGAGGTGAGGCTGGGCGCGCGGCAGCGCGCTGCTCAATGCAGGCACCTTGCCGGCAGGACAGCTGCGTGGTGTCCACCAGCCTGCACTTCCTGCCCTGAGGCAGCTGGGCTCAAGACTTGACGCGATCCTCTTTGGCGCTCATGCCTGCGGGAGCGCCGGGCCCCAGCACGCCACGTGGGTGCCCGCCTCCCACACACACCTCCCCACCGTCCACCCCACGCCACCGCTCCTCACCAGCGTGGGGGGCCCTGGCGCCGGGCGCGGCCTCCGCCTCCGGCCAGGAGGGGGCCTGGGGCAGCTGGAGGGACATCTCTGCGATGCGCGGGGTGAGGCCGGAGCTGTGCTCCGACCCCTGCCGCGCCTCGGGCCGGGGCTCGGTCCTGATGGGGGGCGGGGCCTGGTCGCCGGCCCCGTGCCAGGTGCGGGGCAAGCTCGTGGCATGGAGCAGGTGGTGCTGGGAGGGGAGGGAGGAGGGGTGCAGCGGCTGCCCCACCCGCGCCGCTGCCGCCCAGTCGGAGCCGTCGGTGGGATGCGGGCCCGGCTGCCACTCCCTGGCGGGCATGGACCCCACCGACTGCATAGTCACGAACCCGTCCGCCTGCTTCTGGGGGGTGCAGGGCTCCGTGAAACCCATGTAGGAACCCGAGGCGCGAGGGGTGGTCTGTCCGATGTCGAGCCGGGGGGCCTGAAGGGGACCAGGGGAGGTGGTCTGACAAGGAACAGGAAGAGAGGGGCGCCAGACGCGGCAGCGGCCGTAAGAGTTGGATGTCTGTCCATGATGCTTTCAAACAGAGGGGGGGGGATGAGCGGCGTGTCGCTGCCCAACCCCACCGAGGCAGGCGCGGCACCCAGGACCGCAGCACCCACCCCACAGTCAGCCCTGCAACCGCACCTTGGGACCATCCCAGCAAGTCAGATGGCCATAATCGTGGTATGCCGAGGTATGGACCAGGGCATCGCCATGCTCAGGCACGGAGTACATATGGCTGGCTCCACACCTGCGCCATGGGGTGGCATGGGCATGGGCCAGGGCGCTCCACCATGCAAGGCATCAGCAGGTACCAGGTGCGGGTGATCAGGGTTGCGACGTGTGGGGCGGGGCGCGCCGCCAGGGCGGGGCCCGTAGCTCAGCGTACCGTCGTGGCTGAGGGGGAGCGCAACCCTACTCCGCACTCTTGGTCTCCAAGGGAAGGGCCGGCGAACCCGCTGGGATCTCGTCAGCAAGAGCGGCTCAGTCAACACGTCAAAGCACGATCTGGTAGAGCTTGCTACAGCGTGCAGACCAGGAGTACCGCGCGTGCGAGCAGAGTGTGGTGCTCTCGTTCGTCGACTCCACTCTCGCTCAGCAGCGGCCAGGGCGAAGCCTTGTGGACCGGGCACAGAAGGTCACCCACAACAATGTAATGTGTGAGGTAAGGAGAGGCGGTCTTTCAGGCTGGGTGAGGGCTGGGATGGACGCTGTAATGGTGATCGGGAGTCCGCTCCCCCGTCCCGTCCGGGAGTGCTGCAGGCGCCGAGAGCAGTACATCCTGCTGTACAACGTTCGCGTCTTGGATGCGACCTAACGGCTCGTGCGATTTAAACGTACTCTTGTCCTTTGCTGGACAGGACTTCTTTTTTTTTTGAATCAGCATATAGTTGAGCCTTTAATTCGTGCTTGCGGCGCGCCAATCTGCTGGCACTGGGTTGGACGATCACCCTGGTCGCCACACGGGCACTGCGGGGGACATCACAGCCCAGATATTCGTGACAGAACAGGCACAGTGAGTTTTGGCAAGGCATCGAAATAGCAAGCTGCGTCGCTGCAGGACCAGAGGCGATCTGCGGATGCCTCACCACGGTCGAGCCCTTCCTTCCCCCGCAGTGTCCCGATCATCACTGAATCGCGGATTCTACGCACCAGATGTCCCTCTCAACATAGTGCCGGAAGTACCCCTGGACAGACAGGAGCGTGCATTCGAGCAGTATGGCAACACCTCGACATACAACCTGGAAAACGTGCTGCGGCAAAACATCCTGACCTCCACCTACTACCAGAAAACAGCCGTCCCCATCGAGCAGTGGCAGGATCTGGTGGATGAAATCTACTACAGGTGTGGATCGCATGGCGTGCCTGCGATGTTGGCGTGCTGTGCCAGTCGAGTCCTGGTCTTTATGCCATCTGACGATCATGTATGCCGCCCTGGACCTGCGCCCAGGCACCCACCGGGGTCCCCTCACCCTCGACTCCCGCAGCGTGGACCATGTGGAGCCCTGGATGAGCGGGAACGCGCGAGGGCCCTCCACGGCCTTCAACCTGCTGTACCGACTGGGTCAATTGAAGCCCACCCCCAAGGAGCTGCGCATGATGCTGGACCACAAGGACTCGCCCTACATCAGAGCGGTGAGGTGGCAGATGCGTTTGTGACATGGTTGGCGTGAGGGCAGGATCGCTGCAAAGGGCGTGGAGACCTTGAGGTCCCCACAAAGGCCACAGTGGCTGGTGTGTCTGCAATGTCACACTGCAATGCCCACCGCTCTTTCCACACCCTTGTCCAGGTGGGATTCCTGTACCTGCGCTACACATGCAACCCCCGGTACCTCTGGGAGTGGGTCAAGGACTATCTCGAGGATGCTGAGGTAGGCCATGCAGTGTGTTGTGGCAGATTGGCCTGATCCTGTCCTGATGCGAGGTAGGGGCTGATGGACCGTAATCTATAGTGGTTGGGAAGCGCAGTGTCCCTCACCCGCATCTACACAGCTCCTCCTTCCCCAACGACACACCTCACAGGAATTCACACCCAGCCCCCCAGGGTGGGGCCACTCGGTGACCATGGGCTGCTTCCTACGGGACATCCTTCTTGATCAGGTGCGCGTGGACTAGGGGTGGCGAGGAGGTCTGGGGTTCGTATGTACTGGCTGGGGTGACGTTGATAAAAGACATCATGCAAGTCGTCACTTACTCTTTTGGAAGGGAGCACAGAGGGGAGAGGTCTATCAACGTTTCAGCCCTGTCCTGACGCATCCTCCCTCGACTTCCCCCACTCCCTCTGAGGAGCGCAGGTAGAGAACATGGCCGTGAGAGCGTGAGCCCCCCCTTGTCTTGTGCCGCCTGCCCCTCCTCTCAATGGTACTTGGCTTCCACCTGCTTGCGTGCATGCCACTGTGCATGTCTCTCAGGACCCCACCCCTCCCATGCGCTCGCCCAAACATGCTCCCCCGCCCCCGCCGCGCCGCAGTACTACTTTGAGACCATCTTCCCGCGCATCCCGACCAAGGTCACCGACGAGGTGCTGGCGGGGCTCAAGGCGCGGGGCCTGCCGTGCAAGGCGCTGGGCAACGCGGGGCAGGGTGGCGAGGACCGGCGCGGCATCGCCGAGTCCGCCGCGCGCCCCGCCTCGGTGAAGCAGTCGCTGAGCGTGGCCATGGGCCAGCGCGCGCCCAACCGCGCCTCGGCCCGCGAGCTGGGCCGCGGGACGGGGGCCGACCTGCAGCTGGAGCAGGTGATGAAGAGGAAGGAGAGGGCCTCCCCCGTGCGCGGGGCAGAGAGGAGGGAGGCCAGGTCGCGGTCGCGGTCGCCGCGCGGCGCACCCGTCGCCAGGTGCGCTGGGCGTGCAGCGTGGGGACTGGCGGCGTCGTGCTGCCGGGGATGTCACCCAGGGGATGTTGAGTCGCTGATGAGCGGCAGCGTCGGGGCTTCTGCGGTGCGCGGGCCCATGATCCCCCCCTGCTGAGTAGGACTGTGTCGCCGTCGATCCTGATGGCGAATGGGAGGGTGCGCTGCCCGAGCCCTGGAGCCACCATCCATGCATGCTGACTGCTCTTCCTACCATCCACACCACCATGGGCAGGGCGGAGCGTGGTGGGGATGACCGGCGGCAACCTGTTCTGGAGAGCAGGCGGCGGGAAGCCAGTCGCGAGAGCGATCGTCGCCGCGAGCGGAGCGTGGAGGACGCCAGGAAAGGGCGGAGGGAAGTGGACCCCCCGAGGGATGACCGGCGGCGGCGCGACGAATATGATGACAGAAGAGCGGTGGACGCCAGGGATGACCGGCGGGGACGGGATTACATCGATGACAGGAGGGGTCCCGGCTATGACTCCAGGGACAGCAGGCGCGGCTATTACAGGGATGAGGACGAGCGCCGGCGTCCAGCCCCACCCAGCAGGTCTGCGCAGGACGAGCGCCGGCGCTCACCCCTGCCTCCGCTGCACGATCGTAGTCCGGCCAGCAGGCGGGGCCCAGGGGATGGCCGCCCCGCCACAGACGTCTTCAGGGAGCGGCCTGCTTCGGATGTCTTCAGGGAACGTCCTGCTTTGGATGTCTTCAGGGAGCGCCCCGCCTCTGACGTCTTCAAGGAGCGGCCTGCTTCGGATGTCTTCAGGGAGCGACCGGGGAGCTCAGGGTACAGGCTGTGATCCCGTGTGGTATTGAGCATGGTGATCGCTGCATGAGCACGTGCCGTTCATTTGCCCTGCAATATGCCACTACATGTGGACTGACCGCCGAGAATGTTGCAGCGGCACCCATGGGAGGAGCATGACGGCTTTCAGAAGCCCGTGTAGTATCCGCCCCCGTCGTCTGAGCGGTAGGCCCAGAGCAGCAGTGCGCTTGCCAGAATGAAGCCGCATTGGAGCACAGATCCCTGCGCGCGTGGACAGGGGCGCTTTGAGACAGGAGGTGGTGCTCGCACGAACAGCTCTGCCAGCGTGCTGTGTGTGCGGCAGGATTCATCGAGCAATTGATCCACGATGCGCTGTGGATAATGGGCCGAAGTTGCAGGGTCCCTTGACCCCTCGCGCAGCCAGTGCAGACCGAGGGCCACATCCACCATACCCCACGAGTCATACATGCACCAGACCTCACAGGACGCACCACTCCGACCGACACGAACTGGGACTGTTGGGTGCATTGAATGAGCACTGCAACGCTGCCACCCACGGCTGCAAAAGCCGTGAGGAAGCTGAAGAGAAGCCAGAGCCGTGCTCGCAACTGCTTGAGCGGTGCGGATGGAGCAGGAGGGTGGGTGCATGGCACCGCCTCACAGTGAGAATGCCACATTGAAACGCTCAGCCTTTGCAGAGCCCCTGCCAACTGCAGAGCAGGCACCTGGGCTCCATGTTGCCCTCACCTCGACGCCGTCCTCGATGCTCTCTGCTGCCTCTGCCAGATCTTTCCTTGGCAAGGCATTGATGAGCAGCAGCGCTAGCGTAGCGACTATTCCCGGCCAGTTGTATGTGAATGGGTAGGCCCCCGACTCCCCAGTGCTGACCTGCACCAGTGCGTCAGCCCAGCACCACCATCCTGGCGGGAGGACGTGGTGGAATGTGAGCACCAGAAGTGGTCGACCCAATCTGGGCAGAACGCAGTACGATGAAGTCCAGCTCCTCACCTATTCCAAAGAGGGCGCCAGCCACTAAGGGGCCCCATTCTTGTAGCTTGGCGTTGTACAGATCCCAATCCACCTCCCCTGCGCATGAAGAGAGTCACGAGGTTATACTGAGCCTCAAAGCCAATCCCTGATTCTCAAAAGACTCCAGATTCCGTACCATATATAAACCAGTCTGCGATCGCCTTCATATATTATACTCCGCAGTGCCGTTCAACCTCCGCTGATCTGTTTGCAAGGAAGCTGTGTCAAAGCAATAGCACACCACTTCTTGCAAACAGTCTGAGTGCAAGTCGACAAGGCGTATGTTGAGGGGTTTCTTGGATTCCCGAAGTCTTGGCTGAAGTTGACTAGGCGCTCCCACATGCACGCCGGGTTCCCCACCCCCGCGCGTGAGACTTTCCGGCAGGGTCCATGGCCATAGTCCGGCATGCCCTCATACTTCTCTCCCATCGTTGTTGTCGTCCCTTCTCTACGCACTGGGTGCCCTCCCAGTGGGTCCACCGCGACCCCAACTCTGTCCTCGGGGTTCCAACACCGCGCAACCCCCCGATTACGCATTCGCAGCTGATCACTCGCCTCGGATCGTATTGATAGAACCTATCGAGGCCTGTGTCTGTTGCTGCAGCTCCCATTGTGGATGGGGGAGCCATGACGAAGGCCCGGGAAGGCAAGGGGGTGGCTAGCCCCCACAAGAGCATAGGCAGAGCCTCTGCATCGGGGGATGAAGCACCCAGCTCCGTCAAGCGCCTGTCCCTGACACGCTGGCTGTCCCAGTCCAGCCAGAAGGCGCTGCCAGAGAAGGAGAGCTCCAGCTCGGACTTTTACAAGGAATGGGGAATAACCAAGGAGAAGGAGGTGTGTAGTGTCCAAGCCCGAGGGCATGCTGGCTGATTGGACGGAAGCTACGGCAGAGTTGATTTGGCCGCAGCATCCGTCCGAGTGCTCCTCTGATGGAGGTCAACCAAGATGAGCCGATCCCCGACGGCGTGCTGCCCCTGCCTTACCTGCGTGTCCCTGTTGCCCTTCGACAGGCCGAGCTCCTGCAGGACTTTCGGCGCCAGGTCGAGCAGGACGTGGGGCGGCTGCGGCCTTTCTTCGACGACTTCTACCTGCGACGCTTCCTTCGGGCGCGGGGGCACGACCTGAGCAAGGCTAAGGCCATGTTCCTTGCCCACCTCAAGTTCCGGAAGGACTATGGGGTCGACACCGTGCTGGAGGACTTTGACTTTCAGGTTGGTTGGGTGAGGTCAGCAGGGGGCAAAGCCGCTCATGGAGAGCTGCTGCAAGACACTTCATGGTGGTGGTCCGCAGCAGGTGTGCATGCAGGAACAGGCTCGCACCCTCCCGCTCCCTACCAACCCCATGCACACAGGAGCGGGATGCCGTGCTTTCTATCTACCCCCAAGGGTACCACAAGACCGACAAGGAGGTGAGGGTCGGGGTCAGGCTATTGGCCCGAGTCCTGTGGGTTAGAGATCCCTTCCCTTCCTTCCTTGCTCCTACCGCTTGCATTGCAACAGCACCCCAGCCAGGGGTTCACTGTCCTCGACAGACCCACAACCAACAGTTCTCGTCCCAATGCATTCCCTCCTTTCCACCGACAGGGGCGCCCCGTGTACATCCAGCACCTGGGTCAGGTGAACCTCAAGACGCTGACCGACATCACCACCGAGGAGCGCATGCTGAAGTACCACGTGCAGGAGTATGAGCGCTGCCTCAAGTACATCTTCCCGGCATGCTCCAAGGTGCGTCGCGGGGGCGTGGGGCTTGCAGGAGATCTTCTGGGTGACCGAGGTGGCCTGGTGGAGGTTTTGTGCCCTGAGACGCGCACATCATGATGGGAATGTAGGGTTTCGAGGGACCTGGTGCAGGGCTTCCTGTCTGTGTGTGCGAAGTCGCACCAACCTTGATGCTTATACCTCCACCTCCTCATCCTTCCACCCCTCTCATAACTCAGACCCTCATTCATACCCCGCCCCCCCCCCACCACACACAAACACACACACCAAATCCCACCCCCCTTTGTCCAGGTGGCTGGTCACCAGGTGAACACCACGTTTGCGATCCTGGATGTCAAGGGCGTGGGCCTCAAGCACCTGACGGGGGAGACCCGCCGGATACTGAGCGAGATAGTGGAGATTGATTCGGTGCGTGGCTGTTGATTGGTGAGGGGAAGGTCGAGGAAAGTTCCTGGGTATGGGAATGACACGTGTCACCCAGACCATGGGGGCGAAGGCCTCGTGGACTGGAGCAGGCTGAGTGTCCATGTGTGGCCTGGGACGGGGCTGCACATGATTCGCAGAGACCTGGCCTCGGACGTCTGCTGCACACTGGCATCTGCGGATGGCATGCGCACAATCCCCCCCCTTCCCACTCCACCCACAGAACAACTACCCAGAGACGCTGGGCAAGACGTTGATCATCAACGCGCCCTCCATGTTTGCGGTGCTGTTCAAGGCCGTCAAGCCGATGCTGGATGCCCGCACGCAGGCGAAGATCAAGGTCTGCTCCAGCAGCTACCTGAGCGAGCTGCGGAAGTATGTGGATGACGAGAACATCCCCTCTTACCTGGGAGGTAGGATCATTTCAGTGGGTGTTTGGGAGTTGCATCAAACCATTCGCAAGGGATTCATGCCATGGGCATTGTGCATCGCGGCATCATGCCGAGGGTCATGAAGATGCAGCAGCCGCTCCGGCTCTCCGGAAGACCGGCAAGAGGAGGGCAGTCTCAAACCTTCTTGTGCTCATGTGGCAGGAAAGTCAAAGGGGTCCCTGGTGGATGACGTGGGGCCATGGCAGCAGCCGCAGCTCATTGCCGAGATCAACGCAGGTGGGTCCACTGGTCCTGGTGGAACGGAGTTGTGTCGGCGGCGAGGGGGCAGCAAAGATGTGATGTCCCGAGTGGCCACTTGCAGCGGGGTCCGCCCTGCACTGTGCACGGTGATACGAGCATGCTCCATTGCCAACCTTGTGAAAAACTCTCAATCACAGAGGTGGCGGCCAGGGACGGCCTGCCGCCCCCTCCCGGCCCTGTGTCTGCGGCTTCGGTGGAGGCGCCGGCCGCGGCGCCAGAGCCCAAAGTCCCCAGCGAGGATATGGTCGCCGCGGAGGTCCCCGCCCCTGAGGCCAGCGAGGAGGGCGGTCTGACGATGGGCGAGGAGGTCTCCTCCACCACGACATACCAGGTCACCTCCGCCTTTGCCGGCCAGTCCGGTGGCGAGTTCCTGCGGAAGGAGTCTTTCTACATGGATGCGGAGGACTACTACGATGCCAGCTCGAGGCGGGGGTCCATGACATCATGTACGATGGCCCCGAAGAAAGGCGGGGGTGGGTGGGGCTGGGGTGCGGGGTGCAAAAGCCCAGATGCGAAGCACGATCGCGTTTGGGGTAGAGCGCACTGCCTGCGGCCGGCCCTGCGGTCCTCCGTGCTCCTCCCTATGGGATGGGGCGCCAGGCGCATCGGCCATGGGGTGCTGGGTGTCGACGAATCTGCTGGCGCAGCGTTGGCGCCGCGCTTTGACCTTTCAACCTGCGTGGGCGTCTTGGCTCTGTGCCTTGACCACACCCCAGCCTCCGCTCCCCTGACCCTCACTCCTCTTGGCGCTCCTCTGATCCAGGCTCACACCCTTCCCCCACTTGCAGATGTATCTGGGGACGAGAGCACGTACAGCTCCCCGCGCATGGGCTTTGCGAGCGAGGCCGGCAGTCCCCTGGTCAGGCTGGGGACGGACGGGCCGGGCGGCGCCATCCCCACCGTGCACGAGGGAGAGGTGCTGCCCGATGTCCTGGCCAGGCCTTCCGTGTCCATCGGGAGCCGCATCCAGGAGGACGGCCTGCAGGTGGGCGGCGCGGGAGGGGAGCGCCCGGGGTGCATGCCTGGGACTGCGTGCATGTACAACCCTGCCGAGTCGCACCCCTTGCTCTGCGAGCGCAGGAGCTGGCGGGCAGGGACAGCGAGGGGCAAGACCTGGTGCTGAAGGCGGGTCTCCAGATACCCATCCTCGGTGCGGCGATTGCCTGGGAGGAAGGCAGTGTGGCAGGGCATGGGAAATGAGGCTGGAGCACCTGTGCCCTCAGGCAACCTGCCGCGAAGCTGTAGGCTGGGCTGTGCCATGCCCCCACATGTGCAGTAAATCCACCCTCCCCATACAAAGAATACCTGCTGGTCCCTCATCGTGCCCCGACCCCAAACCCACACACATGGACCTCCCGACCCCGCAGCGCGCGTGCGAGCCCTTGAGCAGCGCTTCCCCGACGTGGAGAAGGGCCTGCGCAGGCAGCTCAGCAGCGGCGACAACCTGCCCAGTCGGTCCATCGGGACGGGCACCCTGCTGAGCAGGGTGGTGGCGTTGGAGAGGGCGATGGACACCCTCCTCGTCGCCCAGGTGGGGGATGAGTGCATGCTGGGGCTGTGTCGCTGCCAGACGGGGTCAAGAGGTTGTTGTGCGGGGCTCCTGTGCTGGACCTGCGATGCACGGGCAGGCCGCCCTGCATTCCATCGATCAAGGACCACCGGCTCCTTGCCACTCCATGCGCCCTTCCAGGAGACTGTGCTGGAGGAAACCAGGAGATCAGGCGCAGTGCAGCCTGAGAACCCAGGAGCATGCGGGTGCTGCACAGTCATGTGATGCTGCAGGGCGCTGGCCTGCCGGCCTTATCGGAATTCGTGGAGACCGCACGAGGAATCGTCGTGAGGACAGTACCAAGGTGATCATCACCCGATACACCATTATGTAGCGTTGTGTAATTGCAAATCCAATACCGTGCTCGTCATGCGGTCGGGAAGCACCTGAACAGTGCAGTGGGTCTGTGGCACCTCCACGGCCTGGTGCGAACTCGACGGCAGGCCCGATGAGCACGGCCCGGCTCTGCCAGGCGCCCCTGCTTCTGACAGCGCGCCTCGCGCCACGAACGCGCTCGCGTGCATTGCAATGTCGCGGCATCGCCTCAATCAGGCGGATCAGGGAGGGGGTGGTCTCCCAGGACACCCCAGCTGTGGAGGTGGTGCAGGGATTCCTGGACCGCATCCATGCGCAGAATGCCTCTCTGGGAGCATTTATCACCGTCCTGGACAAGTCTGCTCTGGAACGAGCCGAGCAGATTGATGCTGAGGCGCGGGAGGGGCGACCCCTGGGCCCCCTGGCGGGGGTCCCCTTTGCAGTCAAGGACAACATCTGTGCCAAGGGCGTGCAGGTGCGGCGGGGCAGCTTCATGCGGAACAAGTGGAGATGCAGTGCGCTGATACAGCAGCCGCAGCCCAATGAGTCTGGCTTGCACTCGCACCGCCTGAGCGAACGACCACTTCAGCGCCAGCTCCCTGAGCCCCCCCCCTCTTGCCCTCTTCCCCTCCCAGACATCGGCCGGGTCCCTGCTCCTGCGCGGGCACCTGCCCGCCTACGACGCTACGGCGGTGGCGCGGCTGCAGGCCGCCGGCGCCATCCTGGTGGGCAAGACCAACCTGGACCAGTTCGGCATGGGCAGCACCAACGAGAACTCCGGGTACGGCCCCGTGCGCAACCCCTGGGACGCGCGGCGCGTGCCGGGCGGGTCCTCGGGCGGGTCGGCCGCCGCAGTGGCGGCGGGCCTTGTCCCCGCCGCGCTGGGCAGCGACACGGGCGGCTCCATCCGGCAGCCCGCCTCCTTCTGCGGCGTGGTGGGGGTGAAGCCCACCTACGGCAGGGTCTCGCGCTCGGGACTGGTGGCTTATGCCAGCTCCCTGGACTGCCTGGGCGTGCTGGCGGGGAGCGCGGCAGACGCGGCTGGTGGGTTGTGCAGGTGGGGTGGGGGGGCGCCGCCTGGCAATAATCTGCAGGCTGCACCCGCGTCCTCCCGTTTGCTTGTTGGTGGGTGCCCTGCCATGCCTGGACAGCAGGCGTGGTGGGGTCTGGACTGCCCAGAACCCTTGGTGTTGAGTGCCTTCCAACCAGGCGGCGGAGATCTCACCCGAGGCTTCACGCTCGCACAAGCCCCTCTCCCCCTCCCCCCCCAACCCCCTCATGTTCAGAGATGCTGGCAGTCATGTCCGGGCATGACGACCTGGATGCCACGAGCAGCCACCGAGAAGTCGGGGACCTGCGGCCTGCCGACCCTGCGCCCTCCGACGCCCGGCCGCTGGCGGGCCGCAGGGTGGGCGTCATCGCCGAGACGGTCGGCGAGGGCGTCGACGCGAGCGTGGTGGAGGCGCTGCAGGCCAGGTGCGTCGGGTGGTGGGCAGAGGGGGGAGGGACTGGCGTCAGATCCAGCCCAACAGTGCACGCGGGTATGTGAGGGGCGGACTCAGCGTCTCTGTGCTTGCGGCCTCCAAGGAGTGTCGACTCAAGCCCACAGTGCCCTGCTCGAGCGTGGGGCAGACGCCGCCTGGAACGCTGCCCATCCCACCACGCATCCACAGCGCCGCTCATCTGGAGTCGCTGGGGGCCACCGTGGAGCAGGTGCACCTACCATCCTTCGCCTCGGGGCTGCCGGCCTACTATGTCATCGCCCTGAGCGAGGCCTCCAGCAACCTCTCGCGCTACGACGGCGTGCGGTATGGGCAGCGCGCACAGCGTGAAGGTGAGAGATGCGACGGATAAGGTCTGATTTTGTAGGGTTTTGCAAGAGGCAAGCTTGGTCAGAGCTCTGGGCTATGGTTTTCGTGGCCCGGCGTGAATACCTGGCCCGGCACGCACCCATGCCCGACCAAGAAGAGGCCCACTCCCGCGGCCTTGAGCAGACCCAGCCTGGGTGCTCACATCGCTCCTGTTCTTCACCCCGTCCATGAGCACTGCCCAGGTCTGATCCCCCCTTTGCCATGCAGAGCTGCGCGAGATGATGCGGGCCAGCCGGCATGGGGGCCTGGGCGCTGAGGTGCAGCGCCGCATCCTGATGGGCACCTATGCCCTGTCGGCCGGTTACTACGACGCCTTCTACCTGCGGGCGCAGCAGGTGCGGACCCTGGTGACGCGCGAGCTGCAGCAGGCCCTGCGGCGCTGTGACGTGCTCCTCTCCCCCGCGGCCCCAACCCCGGCTTATGAGCTGGGCCAGATCTCCGAAGATCCGCTGGCCATGTACAAGGGTGAGGGGGCGGGGCCCGAGAGGGTCATGCTGCCCTGATGCAAACTGGCTGCTGGGAGCCAGTTGGAAGGAGGGGCGGGGTGGTGGCCTTTCTGGGAGCCGCAGCAGACTGCGGTTCTACTCCCCCTTGGATTTTTGCAACGAGATGCTCATACTGAGTGGGGCCGGTGTGCTCGACTTGCATGCACTCACTGCTTCCCATGCTCCACCACATCCCATGCTTCGACAACCCTTCCCCCCTTTCCCTCCCTCCCAGGCGACATGATGACGGTGAACATCAACCTGGCAGGCCTTCCCGCGGTCACCGTCCCGTGCGGCTGGGCGGCGGCCGGTGGCGAGGGAGGCGCCAACACACAGGCCCCGCTGCCCATCGGCATGCAGCTCATCGGACGGCCCTTCAGCGAGGCCAGCCTGCTCCAGCTGGCCCACGTCTTCGAGCTGACCAACCCGGAACGGGCACGGCACACACTGCCAGATGCAGGGCGGTGACGCCGCGCCTTGGCTGGGCAAAAGCAGCGGTGCATGCTGCTGTGTTTCCCTGGAATCTTTTCATCTCAGCGAGGTCAGAGAATGCAAGATACAGTCCAGTGATCCCATGCCTGGGCCATGGCGTCCTTGGCTGGAATGTGGTGTGGCTCCTCACCTTCCCAATCGCAACCCTCTAGTGCCTCTGCTGTGCTGTACACAATGGCTTCTCTATGTGAAGCTGACAAGGGGATTCCAGACACAGGTGGGCCAGGAAGGACAGGTTCCAGCCCCGAGCGGCCTACCAGTTGAAAAAGTCTGCTCCGGCCTCCCGCTTCAGCTGCGCCCCTGCGTCCTTCCCCATGGCTACCGCGTCCTCCTCTGTGGCGGGGCCCTCACGCGTGGTCTGGAACAGCTGCTTCCCCTCTGTGTCGGCCACCAGGCCCCTAAAGGACAGCCTCCCATCCGCAGTCTTCTGTTGTTGGGCAGGGGAGGGAGAGAGGAGGGAAGGGGGGGGGTTGGTGACGACACACAATGCATCAGAGCCTCTTTAGGAAGACGTTTGCTTCTCCAGGTACCGGCAGGTCCTGCATCCATGAGCCAAGCAATGCCAACCGCCACACAAACCGCTCACCTGTGCCAGCCCCGCGATGGGGGTGCGGCAGGAGCCGTCCAGCGCCGCGAGGAAAGCGCGCTCGCAGACCACTGCCAGGCGCGTGTCCTCATGGCTCAGCGTGCGCAGGTACTCCAGCACCGGCTCGTCGCCTTCCCGGCATGCGATGCCGATTGCCCCCTGTGGAGGGGTGGGGTGATGGCGGGGGTTGGCGTCAGGTGTGAGATTGTACAGCGTGGTAGTTGTTGGTACGCCCTGCAGGAGAACCCCTCACATCACTTTCCCCCCGACGAAAGTGCAATCTCCCCTCCACCCCACGCACGCACCTGTGACACGGCGGGCAGCATGTCCTCCAGCCCCAGGATGGAGGTGGCCTTGTCCTCCAGTCCCAGGCGCTTCAGTCCCGCCAGGGCCAGCAGCGTGGCGTCGCAGGCGCCCTCCTGCAGCTTGCGCAGGCGGGTCTGGACGTTGCCGCGGAAATTGACGACGCGGAGGTGGGGGTAGGTGTGCAACAGCTGGGCCTGGCGCCGCAGAGAGGCCGACCCCACCACCGCGCCCTCGGGAAGCTCCGCCAGGGAACTGTAGCGCGCGGAGATGAAGACGTCGCGCGGGTCCTCGCGCGGCAGGTTGCAGGGCAGCACCGTGCCCTCTGGCAGATAAGTAGGCACATCCTGGGGGATTAGTAAAGGGAAGGGGGGGTTGTTAGACGTAAGGGTCATCTACGCACCCAAGCCATGACTTCAGTAGTACTGGCAGTGCAGAAATGTTGACTCTGGTTGACAGCAAGCAAGCTCAAAACTCAAATTCATAGCATGAGCCTTTGGAAGAGGGATGTGGGTACTCCCAAGTACAGGACAAGCCCCCCATCAGGCTAGCCGAGACGATTGCCTTCCAGTATAACACATGGGGGCATGGTTGACAACCAGTCCCCCAGGCCCTCACCTTCATGGAGTGCACCCCGATGTCGATTCGACCCTCCAACAGGGCGTCGTCAATCTCCTTGGTGAAGAGGCCCTTGCCGCCGATGTCGGCCAGGGGCTGGTTCAGGACCTTGTCCCCTGTCGTCTTGATGATAACCACCTCAAGGGCACCGTCCTCTTGCAGGTGCGGGAAGGCAGCCTTCAGCAGGTCGCGGGTCAGGTACGCCTGGGCCAGGGCCAGGGGGGACCCTCGGGTGCCCACCTTCAGGGTCTTGGTCCCGACAGAGGCGCTGGCGCGGACCGAGGCGGCCCGGCTGCGCCTCTCCAGGCGAGGCCGAGTCTGGGACCAGAGCTGACGCTGTGACACCCTGACGTCCCTGCAGGGGGAACCGATAGGTGAATATGTATACCAAAGAATGTTTCAGCGTCATGTGATGCCGCGATCCGAGCCATACCTGATGCCCAAGGGCTGGGCGAGGACCCCGGCAGTCATCTGGGCCTTGATCTGGATGCGGGCGGCACGATGATGCGGTGGATACCCAGCTCGCAACCAATCAGTGTAATATGATTTCCACTGCAATCTCTGCTTGGGTTGTCAGTCGGATACACACTTGTATGCGGGCCTCGCTGCAGGAAAAATATCGGAACACATCTTATCATGTTTGCCAGCTCACCAAGATTTGCGCGCGGTGTCTGTCACCCGAGACCCACGCACACGCACCCAACCCTTCGATGTCGACCGCATCCAAACCTTTCAATGTCGTCATGGGTGCAGCCGATCTGGATGGCGGTCCCGTTGTGCCCGAGATCGGAGAAGAGTACATAGCCCTCGCTCTCGCTGAGCGGCAGAGGATTCGAATCGATGCTGAATCCGACACCGTGGCTGGGAGGCAGGAGTACCTGTGGAGGCCTCCTCCTTTCGTTGTGAACTGGCTCCGGCGCAGCTTGGTCGAGGAGCGAGATCTCCCTGCAGCATTCATGCTGCTGAACCTGGCAACAACAACCCTCCCCGCCGCCCTGCTCCTCTGGAGCACTGGGTGCCGCAGTCACCTGCTGGGCGCTGCCTACCTTATCCTCACCTATGCGGCGTTCCTCCAGAGGTTCATGCTCACCCTCCACTTCACGGAGCACCGACCCCTCTTCAAACCAGGTGGGCCAGTGCAGGCGGGCAGCTATTCACATACCGCATCTGCATAACTTGGTGTTGACCAGGCCATCTTACGATCGCAGATGACTCGTACTGGCTTCACGACTCACCTTGCCTGCGATGCCAATGACAGTTACTCGGAGGGTTCATCACTCATTTGTTGGGAGTCTCCCGCCTCACTCACCGAAACCACCTTCCACATGCAGGGTACAGGCTGTTGAATCTCGTCGCCCCCCTGATCCTGGCCCCCCTGCTGGGGGTGCCCCCCGGCATGTACCACCTGCACCACTGCATCATGCACCACTCCGGGAACAATCGGTGGTCCCTGGACGCCTCGTCCACCGAGCGCTACCAGCGAGACAACCCGCTCCACTTCCTCATGTGCGTGCCCGAGGTGCTGTACAAAAGGTGTACCCCCTCGGCTGGGCGGCACACCCAGCTTGCATCCCCACAGCCGGCCTGTCCCCACCTGGCACTCCGCGGCTGGGGCCCCGGTCCCTCAGGTCCACAAAAAGACATGCTCGTCTCCCCAGCCTCCCACCACCCGCCTTGCAGGTACTGGGCGCGGTTCGCTCTGGGGAGCTGGTTCGAGCTCCCCTGGGTGGCGGCCCGGGCGGGGCGCTGGGGGGTGCTGGCCGCCTGCCTCGCCTGTGAGACCGGCTACCTGGCAGGGGTGCGCTGGGCGCTCCAGGCCAGCCCCGTCGCGGCGCTCTGGACGCTGGCCCTACCCTTTGCGGTCTCCTCCCTGGCGCTCATGCTGGGCAACTGGTCGCAGCACCTGTTTCTGGAGCCCGCGGCGCCCCGCGGCAGCCTGGGACTGGCCTACAACTGCGTGGCCTGTGCGGACAACCAGCGCACCTACAATGACGGGTACCATGCCGTGCACCACCTCAACTCCAAGGCACGGTCTTTGGCATGCAATTGGGCTTAGCTGGGGGGAGCAGTTGAGGGTTGGAAGGTGGGTGACCGCTGATCATTGCACTGAGCAGTTTCTGTTGTGTGCGAATCCCCACTCCCCCCTTGGAGTCAAACTGCAGCCCAGCACTTCCCTCTGCACCCCTCTCACCCCAGCAACCCTAACCCCACCCCGCCCCGCACCTGTGCAACAGACCCACTGGACAGAGCTGCCTGCGCAATTCGTGGCAACACTGGACAAGCAGGCTGCGGCGGGGACGCTGATCTTCCGGGGGCTGGGCTTCTTTGATGTTGGGGTAGCGGTCTTCACAGGCAACTACGACCTCCTTCATGATCACCTTGTCAAGTACACCCCTGCGCTGGCCGCAGCCGGGAGGTGTGATGTCGAAGCCATGCTGCGACGGCGCTTGGCACCCATAATCATGTCGTGACGTCGGGAATTTGAAGGTGTCCAGCGAGATAGCCCACCATGTATCGGAGGAAGACCAGGCACGATGCGACTCAAGAGGAAAAGATGCATGCCCGCATGGACATTATATGTAATAGTATACGGAGCTCCTGATCTTGTTCGATACGAGCGTCGCTGACGGCGTTCTTGTGTCGTCACCCCCCCACTCCGTTCTGCACCTCGATACATGGTCACACGATCGATTTGCGGCCCTGGCTTCGGACCATGGACGAAGAACCTGTGACGACCTGTGATGGGGAGCGGGTACTTGCTCAGGAGGCCCGGCGATCGGCCCGCCTATACTTCCTGCTTGGATTCCTAGCGCTGCCCTGGCTCTGGGCCTGCAGCGTTTGGTTGTACCTGCCAGCACTTCGGCAGCCACACGGCGACCCCGTCGTCCGTAAATGTACGTCATTGCCGAATTATGTTGAGGAGGAGCTGGGGCGCTCGGCATTCTGCAGCATGATGTTGGCTGGCAGGTGTAGCTGCCAATCCCACCTAGCAATACCCCTCCCCACTCTTCTGATCAGACGTGCATCGATCCGCAATCTGGCTAGGCATCTACATGACGATGTTCTTAGCCTGGTTCCTCATGTTCCAGATAGGTAAGCCGAGTGTGGTGGCCGGAGTGACTGACAGAGGAGTGTGGGTCCCGTCTGTGGACATTTATCATTAAGATCCCTCGATCTCGAGTGGTCTAATTTGTGTCGGTTCACTTGTGCAGGCGGGCCCGGTCTCCTCGGCAAAAGGCTGTATGAGAAGCTGGACGTCCGAAGCATAGGGCCAATCAGTTTTGGGGCATCATACTGACACAGGCAGCATGCATGAAGTCATGACAACAAGGTAGATGGGGAGCAGGGCTGTTCGGCTCGAGTTACGGCACACAGGCCTGCCAGCCTCCTGGATGCGCCTCGCCTGATTAGGGAAGCCCGATCAGGCCACACCGATGTACCTCAGCAAGACTCCATTGTTCCCTGCATGTGATGTTTTGCGGGTGTCAGCCTTCCTTGCACGACGCTCTCAATGTAGAGTGACACCACCACGGTACAGCAGGCTCCAAGGACACTCACCAAGAATGAAGCCATTGTTGCCATGCGTGAACTTGATCTGATACAGGTTAGCCGCCACGTCGTCGGTGGACCTCTCGCGCTTCCAAGAATCTCCACCATCCTCTGTGCCGATGCAAGGGGTGGCAACAGGTGAATATGATGATGGAGCAACCATCTGCTTTCACACCAGCACAAAGAGGTGTCAACGTCTCGCTGCCAACACCTATGAAATAATCCACACCCGAAGCCACACCTGTCTTGAAGAGGCTGCCAGACCCTCCACAGGCAAACCCAACCTTCTGATTGGCAAAGTTCACATCCAGGATGCCAAAACCGCGGGACCCCAGCTTGGCCTGCTCAAACTTGGACTGGGTATCCAGATCTGTGTAGTACAGGTCTCCTCCCTTAGTGGTCAGCCAGAGGCGCTCAGAAGGGGTGAACCCCATGTTCTGGAGGCGGCGGGTGGCGGGCCGGTTGTGGGGTGTCCAGTATGCCTGGCCTGTGGAGGGAATGGCCACCAGGTTTGGGTGAAGAGGCCACTGCGATATGCTCAGATTTGTGCATAGAGTTTGCAGGCACCTGCCATATGATGCAGACACGGTGCCGCAGAGATTTTGGCACAGGTTCATAGCATGCGGCTGTGCCCCCACTGCCGCCTTCTTGCAGGCCTGGGTCTGGAAAATGACAACATCGTGCACTCAACACACACTCTTCCCCCCACAAGATTCACCTCCCACCTGGCCTCCAGGTCATAAAAAAGTTGCCGCGCGAGGAGACGGCCACATAGGACCCTCGGTTTGAGCGGCTGATGTTGGAGAAGGAGCCCTCGTAGTAGGATGCCCCGGAGATGCCAGAGGAGATGACCCTGTGTGTTGGGGGGTGCAGCGACGGTCAGCGCTCCACAGGCGGTGAGATCAATGCCCAGGACAGCAAGGCCACATTGGCTACATGCTGCACACCTGTTCAGGGTGGCATCCACCGTCTCCTTGACTGCCGCGGTCCAGTTCTGGCCGCCATTGTCCGTCACGTAGATGGCACCCTGTGCATGCGCGCGGGGTCAGCAACCATGGAAATGTTGAGCGCACAAAGGAGCCAGGCAGGAGATGTGAAGTAGGGTCTGAGCTTGAATCCCACTGCATGCTCAACAATGATGGTCTCTGCTGAGCATGCTCAGCCACGCCAGGCGCCCAGCTCCAGGTACCTGGTCGGTGGTCAGCTCAGCCGCCCCCTTGCCCTCTAGCGCGGTTATGAGAACGGGGGTTCCCGGCAGCTTGGCCGACAGCGGCACCCGCTCCCAGTTGGTGCCGCCGTCGGTGCTGTGCAGCAGGATGGCCGGCTTGCCAACGATCCAACCCTCATCACCTGTGCACAGGGTCGTGGTGGCGTGCGTCAGGAACATCAGGGAGGAGTCGAGTAATGAGGTTTCAGCCACATGATGTGGTAGACAGACTCCCTCGCTCCCCGCACGGCAGATGCATGTAAGATGCTCTCCATACATGGTCATGGAATCTACCATGGGGGGGGTCGGAACAGCCAATACAATTATAGTGCCTCGGCGAGTACACCTCCCCGCATTCCCCTTGCCCACTTGCCCTGGAAGGAGATGGAATTGAAACGGTAGTTGAAGCCCTCTTCCTGTGCGGCCGCGACGCTGCGTGGTTCCCAGTTACGACCGCCATCCTTGGTTTCGAGTAGGGTTTGCCTTGTGCCCAGCAGGAAGCCTGCCGGAGTAAATGAGTGGCATGAGGAAGAATGAAGTCGCGCCGTGTGACCTTCATTCCATGGATGCTTGGAATATTCACAATGTGAGCCCCACCAGCTTTTGCACTCCCGGGTCTACTGCATGGCACCTCCCCTCCACCTCCAGACATCCATACATCATTCACCATGGTTGGGGTCAGAGGATGTGAAATCAACGTCCAGAAGAACCACGCCCGGGTCTATTGGCAGGTCTACAATGGCCCAGTCCTTGGAAAGGACGGGGCCAGCGCTGGCCGGACCGGGCATAGGCATGCTGAGTGCCGCACCCACCGCGAGGCCACCAAGCATGGCAGAGCGACGATGCACGGCCGCTTCACTTCCGGTAGACACATCATTACCGGCTTGGCACCTCACAGCCGAGCGGCATGGGGCCTGGAGACGTTGCGAGCGTGGATGGCTCGGCCTTCCTCCGCATGAGTACTCTGTGCCCGTCGCAGGCCGCTCGAGGCCATGCGCATTGCATTGAAGGGCAAATGGAGGCATACGGATGACGTTACGGGGTTGAAATGAGCAAATGCAGTTGGATCTGTGTTTCGGTGGTGGCTTGGTCCATTGAATGGTGGTGCATGAACCGCACCCTCCCCCTCTCAGATTGAGCATGGCGCGCGGCGGGAAACACAACTCCGCGCCCAGGAGGCGGGGGTTTGCATGCATCATGCACCCCTGGGAAGGGAGCCTGCCACAAACCTTTCGATACGGAGCCACTCTTGGTGCTCATATACACAACTCGCGATAATCTGCAAGCTATAGAAGCGAGCTCTACCTCCAGTGCAGCCCCGTACCGGCGACGTCAGCGTGCCGTGTCCGTCCCTCGCCCCTGTACTGCATTTGATACATTGTTAACCGGGTTCCCTGACGAGAGGCGTGGGTTGCACGACTCATCCTTGCCGAGGACGGGCCTGACGCAGGAGCTGGTCCCATGCGGCCGCTGACGGAGGACGAGACGCGGCAAGTGTTCGAGAAACTCCACAAGTACCTCGGGAAGGCCATCAAGAGCCTGGTGGACAGGACAGACGACCCATTTTGCTTCAGATTGCAGCGCAATCGGGTGTTCTACGTCCGGGAGGATGTCATGCGAAGAGCCACAAACGTGAGTGGAGGGGGGGTGGGGGGGGCTTGGGGCACCTGGGCGTGAAACGCCTTGCACTCCCCTTCAAGAAGCCTTGCTGGTGTGCCCTCTCGCTACCCAAACGAAAGCTTTGCTCGTTCCATCAGGTTGCCAGGGACAAGCTCGTGGCCCTCGGGACCTGCATCGGCAGGTTCACCCACAGCGGCAAGTTTCACCTCACCATCGGAGCGCTCGACATCCTCGCCCAGTATGCCAAGTACAAGGTGCGGGATGTGCCTGAGATGGGGCATGTGGCCACGCCGTACTATCTCAAACGCCGCCAGATGATGCATGCTTCAACCTTCAGTCTTCAACCCGACACAAACACTGGGGAAGCCTGGGGTGGAAACACCTCCAGTAAACTTTGCTGATGGCACGGCCCATGGCAGCATGCGTGCACGCTCGCTGATTCTGCGATCCCGCTCTGCATCCTTGATCCAGAGCGAGGGCCCCGTCACCTGCTGCACAACCTGCCATGCTGGCAATCCCTGTGGTCTTCTCCTTTCCCATTGGGCTCCCTCCCCCAACTTCCCAGCACCCCATCCCCCCTCAGGTGTGGGTGAAGCCCTCGGCGGAGATGCAGTTCCTGTACGGAAACCACGTCCTCAAGGCTGGCCTGGGCCGCATCACAGAAAACACCCCCGGCTACACAGGGGTGGTCGTGCTCTCCATGTCCGACGTGCCCCTCGGCTTTGGGGTGACGGCAAAGAGCACCGCCGAGTGCCGGACGGCGGACCCCAACGGCATTGTGGTCTTCCACCAGGCGGATGTGGGCGAGTACCTCAGGGCAGAAGACGACCTCTGAGACATGGGTGTGGTGGGAGAGTGGGGCCGCGGCCGCCGCACTCCTGTAATCCTGCACTCCCGAGGGCCGGCTGGTCTGGCAGGATGGCCTCGACCAAAAGGCGCCTCCCTGCGTCATTCATGCACACTGTGACTCGGAATCACCTGACCGGTGCGGAAATGCAGCCTTCCAGGATGCACAGTCTGCGTCAGCACCCCTCTGGCAATGGTGCTTACAGGAGAGCGGCAAGCAAGGCTCCGAGGGGTCAGGGGGAGCGACAGTCAGGAGGCCTGGGCAGGGGATCGGGCTCCCCACCCCAGCCAGGTATAAAAGCGCAAGGGCGCTGGCGCGTGCCGGTGGTGCGGCTCAGCATTCGGCGCTCGTGCCGTGAGAGCATGCGGGCGGGCACTGGACATGTGGCACACACTCGGCACCCAGAGCCCAGGTCAGAGGTCGACGTGGGGCAGGTCCAGGTCCTCGGTGCCGAGACCTGCGAAAGGGTCCTCGACGTCGACCCCGGGCGGGGCCACCTCCTCCTCGGCGTCGTCATACAGGTCGTCGTCCACCGGCTCCGAGGCGGCCTCGGCCTCGTCGTCGCCGTCCTCGTCGGCGTCGGCAGCGTCCAGCCCCTCCAGGAACTTGGCCATCAGCTCCGGGTCCTCCGCCAGCATGGCGTCCAGGTCGAGGGGGACGTTCAGCTCCTCCTCCGTCAGCGCCGCGCTGCCGTCGCCTCCCAGCAAGACCTCGCTCGTGGGAGGCGGCGGCGTCCCGGCCGGCAGGACGACGTCGATGCGGCGGCGCAGGGCCGCCGCGGCCACCGCGGCCGCCTCGCGGTCGGTCGCGTTGGGGTGGGTCGACAGCGTCAACGACAGCGCGTCCTTCACGCTGGTCGCAAACGCGTCGCCGTCGACCTGTGTGTATGCGGGGTCGAGGGGTGCACCATGGTGATGGAGGGAACACAACAATGGGGGGGTGGGCACTCTGGCCTGGACGCCTTGCAGCGGCATGGTTGCTGGTGCCTGGGAGGGAAACAGGGCATGATCCAAGAGAATGCAGCGACAGGGTTGCGCCATGGCCAAACACGCACGGAACGCAGTTCCGCCAGGGATCAGCGGACGCCACACCCCAGGCCTCGCCAAGAAATCCCCCCGGGCTCAAAGTATACGCAGCACTCACCGCGGCCAGCCAGTCGCGGGGCACGACCATGTTGAGGATGAAGGTGGCCTGGGAGGCGGAGACGGTCCCCGAATACTCGAAGCCGCCGCCTTCGGACAACGCATTCACCAGCACGGGGACGGATGCCGGGGGGAGCTGCAGTCGGGGTATGGGGGCGGTTTGGAGGGCGAGGGGGTCAGACTGGGGCGGCGAAATCTCGCGGAAGTCATCGCCCCGCTTCAGGCACTGGAGGCGGGGACGTGCGGACAGCCCCTGCGAGTTTGCCGTCATGGCAGACCAGCTCGTAAGAACAAGGCTGGGGCACATCAGCCTGCGCCTCACCATCTCGACGCGGTGCACGTGGAAGATGGTGGAGGGCTGGGCGGTGAGGTCGTTGGCGAGCTTGCGCTGGAGGAGGCCAGGCTCAGCAAACATCCAGGCCTGGAAGGGAGAGGCAACGGGCACGTGAGGAGGGCGCGCAGAGGGCAGGCGAGGGGGATAGAAGCAGAAGGCTTGGGCCCCCCCATGTGAGCGACATTTGGGTCACCACGTTCAGAGTGACTGTCGATACAGCAGGCATGCGCACCCGTCATGCAGCCTGAGAGCAAGGCCACCCTTACGTCGATGTTCCTGACGCAGCCCTTGGGGGCCACGGTGGCCAACTGAGGAAAGCTGGACGACCTCTGCTCCTCGCCTCCATAGGCCAGCAGCAGGACCGTGGCCTGCGTCTTCGGCACGGGGGTGGGGGCAGGGGAGTGCAGCGTTCGGGCAGACGGCCGGGGTGGCAGGTGCCACTTTCAAACGATTCAAGCAGGGTGCTGGGGAGGGGAGCGCAGGACCATCGAGCTCGTCCAGACCTCCACCCAGACGCGCCCGCTGTGTGAACCCCGTCCAGAGCAGGACCCTCCCTCGCAGGGATGGGGCAGCCACGCACCTTGGCATGGTGCACCTTCTCCCCGTCCAGTATGTCGCTGGCGGCGTCCAGCTGGGCCCGCCACTGCTCGCCGGGCGGCACCAGCGTCTGCAGGAAGGCGGGGTCGGCGGGGCAGGGAGCGCCCGCCGTCGGCGCCGGCCCGCCTGCAGCTGGCGCGGCCGCCGGACCACTCGCGGCCTGTGCGAGGGAGAGCAAGTGATGGGTGTGGCGGGGCGCACTCGGATCGGCACCCTCACGAGCCAGTCATGGGATGGCGTGCCGAGTCAGAGTGCCCCCATCACAGGCGACACCCATCAAGGTCCCTCCAGCCTCCCTTCGACGGCTCCCGGGTCCGCGCACTCCCTCCCCACACCTTGGCGGGAGAAGAAGGGATCGCTCCGCGCGCCCGCCTGACGGCCCCGTGCACCCAGGTCTGGACCTTGTCTACGACCGTGCAGACCGCGATGCGTGCCCGTGCCAGGGCGGCGGCGAGCTCGGCCTTGACGCACGCAACACCCCGCGACAGGGAGTCGGCCACGTGCAGGTCCGCCCGGCGCCGTTGAATCGCGTCTCGCGCGGCACCGGCGCGCCGCGCGGCGTGGTACCGCGCGCGGCGAGCGCTGTCGGCGAGCGCCGCCGCCTGGGCGCGCACCTCGCCCGCGCCGTCCCGCACCACGGCTCGGGCCTGCAGGCCCGCGCGCTCGGCCCCAGCAGACGCGGCGCGGTAGCCGCGCTGCGCCCAGGCCGCGGCCCTGGGCGCCAGGTTGTGCTGCGCCGCGTAGGGCAGCGCCAGGCCACCCAGCAGGCCCAGCATGGCCAGGCCCACCAGGATCTTGAAGGGCAGCGACACGGAGCGGGAGGGCGCGGGGCGGGGCGGGGGCGGTGTGTCCGAGGCGCTGGCCGCAGCGCGGGGAGCCGGCAGCGGGGTGCTCAGCGCGTCGGCCAGCGCGCCCAGCGCGGGGCCCCGCCGCCGGCTGGGCGTGGTGGCCGTCCTCACGCTGTGGCTCGGGGTCGCGGTGCTAGCGTTCTGCGCCAAGCGGCTGGGCACCGTGGCGGTGCTAGGGTGCTATGTGTGGTGTGTGAGGGGGGGGGGAGGATGTTGATTGAAAGGGGAGGAGGCTGCCAGGTCGCCTGCAAAAGGTAGAACCTCAAAAAGGGTGCCAGTGGGGCAGGCAGAAACCACAAGACTTGCCGGGGTGCTGCTGGAGGGAGAGCTGCCCCCGCTGGCCTGCGAGGTCTGCGACAGTCCCAGCAGGCGGCGGGTCAGTTCGTCCCGTTTCCTGTCACAGTGGGGGGAAGCGGGAGCCGGGTGGAGTCGGCCGCAGCAGTCGAGGGAAGCCCGGGGGAGGTGATGCCTGATCACTGCCTTGGAAAAGGCGACGTAACTCACCCTCGTGCAGAGAAGCCCAAGTCCTTGCACTTCCGCTGCAGTTCTGCGTACGACAGGGTGTCCACATCCTCAGCTGTTACGGACATGGTTTGCAGGGAGGGGCCTCGGAGCCGCCCAGATCTGGGAAGGTAAGCGTCGCTACAGCTTTCTAAGCATCGAATAACTAAAAGTACTGGTGCATCAGGTGTTTCAGGCACGCCATCTACGTGCCCATCGGCAAACGGGTTCCGTGCACGGAGGGTACCGCCAGGTACCGACCCTCAGAGCCTGCTCGGCAATGTACATTCCCAACCGGAGGACAAGGGCACACCTCTGCTGTCAGTTGAGCACCATCGCCTTCCGCGTTACCGCATGATCTGGGGTGGGCATGGCCTCCTTACAGCACGAACTATGGTTGCAAAACATCTATCTTCCTAGTGGTTGTCTCCATGCATGCCGGCCTGCCGCTGCAGCCGGGTCCATGCATGGGGAGGCGTATCACGAGTCCAGGCCTGTCAAGGTCATGGTTAAACATGCCTGCGCGCCCGCCGGGCCCCTCACCGCTGCAGGGGCGGACCGACAAAGGGGTCCCGTGTCGCGCCGTTCTGGTGGCCGGCCTCCAGTGCGTGGACCTGGACCGTGCCATCCTCCCGCGGCGAGATGGGGAGGGAGGTCCCCCCCAACCCCACCTCGGCGTCCTTCATGAACGGCGACGCCTGGCCGGGGCCCAGGGATGGCGACAGGGAGCTACCGTAGGCGCCGCCGCCGCCCCGCGGCCCCAGCTCCACCCCGCGATGCTGGCCGCCGGGGCGGCTGCCAAAGGCGTGATCGGCGTCCAGCTCATCGTCGAAGCGCTCGAAGCGGTTGCCTCCCAGGCCGGAGAAGCCGGGGGCCGTGCCGTGGCGCCTGCGCCGAGCCAGCCACACGCAGACCACCACCCCCACGATGGCCAGCAGGAAGACGCCGATGGCGATGCCCACCTTCTGGTTCTTGGACAACCCGCCTGCCTCCTCTGTCGTTGCATGACGGGGTGGTGTGGGGGAGGTGTTCGACGGATTCCAGGAGTAGGGAGGGCATGGAGTGGGCTTGCGCCCAGCAAACCTGTGCGCAGCGCGCCGCCCCGGCCAGACCATGGCAGGGAAAGCGCCACTCACCGTTCCCGGGGCTCGGAGGCGGGGATGGCGAGGGAGGGGGCGGCGCTGTGGAGAATGCAAAGGAGGAAGGGGTGCGCATGTGATTCGATTCACAAGAGGATGCCGGGTGGCCCTGGTGCAGGCTTCACAGACGTCTGCGGGGGTGCACCGTCGCCCCTGCAAACCCTACAATGTCGAGCAGACACCCCCTCTGGGAACTCCCTGCACGTCAGAAACCTACGCGAGGAGCTGGTGCAGACGCTGGCCAGATTGCTGAAGGCCGTGTCGCAGCCATTGGAGAAGGAGTTGCCCTGTGTGGTGGGGTCGTGGGGAGGATGAAGTCTGGCCTGATCCAGAGCCAAGGCTTCTGAATTTCTGATGGTGTTCTTGGCAATGTACCATCTCTGGCATGCGGAGGCAAACAAGTAAAGGCTGCGATGGCTAGTACACAGCCAGGTGAACATGCTGAGGGAGGGAGCCCTGCCCGCCACATGCCGCGGCCGACTCACGGAGAGGAGGATGTTGGTGGGGTAGTCCAGCTCCGCTGACGCCATGTAGGTCGGGATGTCCCCCGTCAGCTTGTTGTTCGCGAGGGAGATGGTGTTCCAGGTGGCGGGCACATTGGCGTCCAAGGGCGCCTGTGTGTGGGGATGGTAGAGTGCGCGGGGGCGGTCAGGTAACAGGCATACGCCTGGCGAGGCGCCCACAATCCTCCCAGTGAGCGTGCACTCCCTGCGCATGCAGCCAGCCGACCATTTGAAAACACCACCACCCTACCATTGATAAGCCACCACCGCCGATCCCATACCTCACCCTTCCCCCTCCCAGGTGTCCTCTCCCCCCCCCCCCACCCCTTCCTGCACACCCACGCCCACGCAGGGAATCACCCACCAGGTTAAAGATGCCTGACTCCTGCAAGGCGTTCCCGATGCTGCCCTCCAGCGCGTTCCCGCCCGCAAACAGATAGCGCAGGCTGGGGAAAAACGTGGTGCCGGCGGAGGGCAGCTCCCCTGTCAGCTTGTTGCCGCTGAGGTCCAGGGAGGCCAGCGCGGGGTAGGCGGCCAGCCCGACGGGGAAGGAGCCGGCGAGGGCGTTGCCGCCCAGGCTGAGCGCGGCCAGAGGTGCGGCGGCCGCGGCCTCGGCCTCGCCCTCCTCGCCCCAGGCGTCCGGCAGGTCCGTCAGCGCGTTGCCCGTCAGCACCAGCTGGACCAGGCGCGTGTGCCCGGCGAGCGCAGCCGGCACGCCGCCCGTCAGCCGGTTGTGGGCTAGGCTGAGCGACTGCAGCTGCTCGGAGGCAAAGGCCGGAATGGTGCCGGTCAGCGAGTTGTTGGCCAGCACCAGGCTCTGCAGGGCGGGGAGCAGGCCTAAACCGGAGGGCATGCTGCCACTCAGCTGGGCCTGTTGAATATTGAAGGGGGGGGACAATGGGGAGGTAAGGGGTTTTGGGGAGAAAGGGAGGGTTGGAAGGGGTGGGGCTAACAGCCCAGCCCCACCAGCAGCGCTTCAATGGGGTCGAGCACCGGAACCAAGGTCCAGCGCCTGGCTCGCACATGCAGCCACAGCCGCTTCCGGCCGTTGCAGGGGGTATCATGTGCCCTCTGTGGAGCCAGACCATCGGCTCCACCCCCAGCCGGCCCCCTCCCGACCCCACGACAACGCACCACTCCCAGCTTCAGCTGCCACAGCGTGCTGGCCGCCGAAAAGGTGTCCGGCAGGGTCCCGCTGAGCCCCGTGGACCCCGCCGCCAGGTACAGCAGCCCCGAGTCGGCGCCAAAGAGGCAGCCCGGGAGGGAGCCGGAGATGCCCGTGCGCGCCAGGTCCAGGAGGGTCAGGCCGCTGCTGGCCAGCACGCACATGTCGGAGGTCAGTGTCCCCGTGATCCCGGTGTTGGCATTCAAGCGCAGCTCGTGCAACGACACGAGGCTCAGCAGGGCGGTGGCGATGTTGCCGATGTCACCCTGTTGAGTTGGGGAGGTGGAGGGTGTGGCTGAGGGCATGGCCCTGAATGCAGGGTATGGGGAAAGTGCATGCAGCTCCGCCCCCGCAGCGCACTCGGCGCCTCTGCATGGCCCCTGCCTCTGGCACAGCATCCTGCGCACCGTCAGCGAGTTGGAGCCCAGGTACAGAAACTGCAGCTTCTGAAACTTGGCCAGGGTCTCCCCGGGGAAGGGGCACAGAAGGGCCTCGCCTACGCACATGGCCAGAGACGAGCCTGAGTAGCAGCGGCGGCAACGCCGCACATCCACACGCTGCTGTCTCCCACGGCAGTCCGCACGCCGGGGGGAGCACAGCTCCATCCGATACCTAGGCACAGCAACACATGGACCCCCCACCTCTCTCTTCGCACCCTCTAGATTGAGCTGGACCAGGTTCCCGCTGGAATCGCAGATGCTGCCGTCCATAAGGCACAGGTCCAGCAGGGCGGCAGCCCCAGAGCGCGTGGCCGCGGCCTTCCAGGCCGGGCAGGCCGAGGTCCCGCCGCAGCAGGCGTCAAACAGGCTCTGCGCGGCGTCCTGCTGATCGTTGGTAATCTGGGTGGCGTTGAGCGCGGCGTCCACGGTGAGGGTGAAGGCGATGGCGCCCCCCGACAGGTTCTCGTTGGCCACGGAGCAGGTGAAGTTGGGCGTGCTCAGCGTGTCGGGCCAGTAGTGGGCTGAGTTGGGGGAGATGACCACCTGCTGTGCGTAGTTGGCACCGCGGGCTGCATGCAGGGTGGTGTGGTGTTGGGGAAGAAAGGGGGTTAGGTGGAGGCCCGCACCAGCAGGTGCACTCTGGGCCAAGCGCTGCCGCTTAGTCTGCCCGTGCACCATGCCCGTGCCCTGGGTGTCAGGCGGTACGCTCTGTGCGCCTTGCATGCCAGCGCACTTGAGTAGTACTGGGAGGCTGCGGCAGAGGGGGAGACCACCGCGGCGGCGCTGCTACAGTACAGGCCCAGCGCTCCATCGCCGCTGGGGGTGGCCGTGATGGTGTACCATGCCTCCTCATTGTCTGCGCTGATGTCGGTGAACAGCACCTCCTCGCCCTACGCAGGGTTGGAGGTTTGCGGATCTGACAGGCTGGAGGCAGATCATGCCCACACGCCGCCAATGCACCCGCAGGAACAGCTGGGGCACTCACCACCGCCACGGTGGAAATCTGCGCCAGGAGCTGTGTGGCCATGGCACCTCCGGCCATGACGACGATGAGTACTAATGTATGTATGCGACGCATTGTAGGCGGGGTGTGTCCCGATGTCGTGGCCCCAAAGGGCTGTCGGGCGGTTCCGTTCCGCGCAACCGCCAGGAGGAGCGGAATGTTCCGATCGCCACCAGATCCTAGCCCACCGATGGATAAACCAGCTATAAGAGTTAATGTATGCGAATCGACCTACGTATCTGGGATGTAATGCAGCGCACGGTTGCAATGAGGGGTGTTTATGGAAAAGCAAGCGCGAGAGCTCGGCGCGCTCGAAGGTGGTAATTCCCTCCCACATCCTGGGGAGGATCTGCGGAAGGACCACTCACGACACGAAGGAGGGTGTGACCGCGATCTGATGCAGGTCAGAGTCTTCGCTCTTGACTTGTGCTTTCCAACCCTCTGCTGGTTGCACTTGTCGAAGTGAAACCTGGGAAGCAGCCGTGCGCCCAAACCTGCTGCTTGAGGCTGGGCATACACTGCAAAAGAAGGGAGCCGAGGCTTCCCCTTGATCGACCAAGCCCTGATCAAGAATAATCACCTCGCCTGCGGGAGATTTGAGCCATGTTCCTGACCAGGTGATCTTCTTCTCATGGTGCAGGACGACTCCTTGATCGTACAGGCGGCACGCCAAACTGCAGCCCTCTCGTCAAACGGTCGATGTCATTCCATCTCATGCAGGAGTGAATATGATAGATCTGTGAACAGCTTCAGTCCAGAGGGTCGGATCTTCCAAGTGGAATATGCCATCGAGGCCATCAAGCTGGGGTCCACGGCCATCGCGGTGTGCACATCGGAAGGTGTGGTCCTGGCTGCAGAGAAGCGCGTGACATCCCCACTTCTGGTAGGTGCTCCGTCATCGGGCTGTGTGCTCCACGCAGCGGGCTCTGTTACTGCATGCCTCCTCACCACCACCATTAATTTGCACAAAGGCTTCGTGTGCCCTCCCCACCTCTCATAGGAGCCCGCCAGCATTGAAAAGGTGGCCGAGGTGGACGCACACATTGGCGTGGCCATGAGTGGTCTGACAGCTGATGCACGCACCCTGATCGACCATGGCCGTGTGGAGGCCCAGCAGCACGCTTTCACCTACAATGAGCCCATCCCTGTGGAATCGCTCACGCAGGTACTGATACGGAAAGTGCTACCCAGCAGGCCCATGCTCTGGTGCAGATTCATAGGAGTGGGGCAACCTATCGCAAGGGCTGAATGGCTTCGAGTATATGTCTTAACTCCTCAACCTCATCCCCAATCTCCTGCAGTCCCTGTGCGACCTGTCGCTGCGATTTGGAGAGGATGAGGATGGTGGCGATGGTGGCATGGTAAGCAGTCTAACAACAGTGCGCTGAGGAAATGGATGAGATCCTGTGACCTGGACCTGCTTGGCCGCATCGTCAGCGGCTACGAAGTGTCCTATGTTTCTCCTAGCTGCCTATGGCTTGTATGGATAGCGTCTTGCCTACCCTTTCTCCTCCTGCAATGACCCCACAGAGCCGACCCTTTGGAGTGGCACTCCTCATTGCTGGCTGGGACACAGACTCGGGGCCAGTCCTGTGAGTCTTCGTAGGGGTGTAGCAAAAATTAATAGCAATTATGTGCGCATCCTCCGCGGACTCGACTGGTGTGACTGTCAAAGTGCAAGCCGTCAGTGTTGGCGCTCTGCATGAGCCTTTGTGACTGCATTATATTTGCTCAATAGCGATGCACTTGCCCCCATGATCAAACTCCCTCCATCCTTTCCAGGTTCCACACTGATCCTTCCGGTACATTTGTGCGGTACCAGGCCAAGGCCATTGGTTCTGGGTCTGAGGGTGCACAGACGGCCTTGCAGGAGGGATTCCGTGCCGACATGACACTGAAGGAGGCCGAAGAGCTCACTCTGTCCACGCTGAAGCAAGTCATGGAGGAGAAGGTGAGACCTGGTGCAGAATGGGTGCATGCGTTTTTGTCAAGGCCCAGCAGTACTCGCACAGCCTTCCCAACCTCATGCATTTCTGGCTGCAGGTGACGTCTACCAACGTGGACATCGCGAGGGTGGCTCCAAAATGGCACCTGTACTCTCCCAGCGAGGTTGAGGAGGTGTTTGCTCGTTTGTGAAGCCAGTCTTGCCCGCCGTCACACTGCTGCGAATGATGCTGGCGTCTGGAAGGCAGCACACATTGTAACAGCAGCCTAAGTGACAGTCAGTGTGTTTGATAGTGGCTCACACAAAAACGAAAGTCCCAGCAGGCAGCTGCACGTACTCGTGGGTTCTGAAGAAGAACAGGGAAGCAGTCAAGGCACCTTTGAGGGTTTGCATCTGCGCCAGGGCGCCACCCTCACGGCGGCCCAGCCCTTGATGCAGGAAAAATCTAACTCCGCACGTGATCAGGGAAGGGCCCGGCATGCACCCCGGCCGACGCCAACAAAGCCCTGATCGAGCGGGGACCCAACCCATAAACACTTCGACTCGCCATCCTAATATTTTCCGTTAACGAATTCCGCTCCACATCCCATTCTCGCAATGGCTTCCGTCCTGGGAAACACCTGGAAGAACGAGTATGCCGAGGAGCTGATTGCCACTGCCAAGGCCATCGTCGCTCCCGGCAAGGGCATCCTCGCTGCTGATGAGAGCACGGGAACCATCGGCAAGCGGGTGAGAACGCGGGGTTGGGGTTTGGGTTCCGGCCACGGGTAACCCGTGCGAGATCAGCCCCGGTAGGGTGGGCGCGCCGTGCCCGAGCAGACCCCTTGCCTTGTCGAATTCGGTTCACGACCTCTTCCCATGCACGTGTGCATAGCATGCTGTCCGTGCGTCCCGAATCTGTCCTCGGTTCCGTGCCCGCCCCAACCCTGACCCACCCCGAGTCCCGGTTGCAGCTGGAGAGCATTGGCGTGGCGAACGAGGAGTCTGCCCGCCGTAACCTGCGCGAGCTCCTGTTCAACACCCCCGACGCCAACAAGCACATCAGCGGCGTGGTGCGTGGGGTTGTGGGCACGTTCCAGGCTAGGGTGTGTCCCCCGGTCCCGCGGTTCCGGGAGGCCTATGGCCCAGGTGGTGGTGCTGAGTGGGTGCAGTGTCTCCTATGCCCCATGGAAGACGCCCTCGTGTGAATGTCAAACACCACACCCTCGCCACCCCCATCCGTCCCCTACCCAAACCACCAGATCCTGTATGAGGAGACCCTGTACCAGAATGCAAACGACGGCACGCCCTTTGCCAAGATCCTGAAGGACCTGGGCATGATCCCCGGCATCAAGGTGGACGCGGGCGTGGTCCCCCTCCCTGGCACTGACGGCGAGACGGAGACCCAGGGCCTGGACAACCTGGGCAAGCGCTGCGCCAAGTACTACCAGCAGGGCGCTCGCTTCGCCAAGTGGCGCGCGGTGCTGAAGATCGGGGCCAAGGAGCCGAGCGAGCTGAGCATCCACCAGAATGCGTACGGCCTGGCGCGCTACGCGGTCATCTGCCAGGAGAACGGGCTGGTGCCCATCGTGGAGCCAGAGATCCTCTCCGACGGCTCCCACGGCATCGAGGTTTGCGCCGCGATCACGGAGCGTGTGCTGGGCGCCGTCTACAAGGCGCTGAACGACCACCACGTGCTGCTGGAGGGCACGCTGCTGAAGCCCAACATGGTGCTCCCCGGCGCGGAGGGGCCCAAGGTGGACGTGCGCACCGCCGCATGGCTGACGGTGCGCACGCTGTCGCGCACCGTGCCCCCGGCCGTCCCCGGCATCGTCTTCCTGTCCGGCGGGCAGTCGGAGGAGGAGGCCACCGCCCACCTGGTGGCCATGAACCAGGTCACCGACCTGCCCAAGCCCTGGGCGCTGTCCTTCTCCTTCGGCCGCGCGCTGCAGAGCTCCACGCTCAAGGCCTGGGGCGGGAAGACGGAGAACGTGAAGGCCGCGCAGGAGGCATTCATCGCTCGCGCCTCCGCCAACGGCCAGGCCACGCTGGGCAAGGGAGACCTGGACGCCACGGGCGAGAGCCTGTACGTGAAGGACTACAAGTACTGAGTGATCCGGGAGGAGGGAGTGAGCGGGGAAGGGGGCAGCCACACGGGGCCCGTCTCGACCTGCCACCCCTCCCCTCGTCGAGCCCTGCCCAGGGGGCGCCGCAACGAGCCATGCGTGTGCATGTGTCTGGAGGGCCCTTCCACCGGGCGATGTGCGAGCCATCCTCGCCTATTTCAACACACCGCTGCCGGCATGCGCTCCACTCCCCCCAAAACCACCTCGACCCTCCCAGGGCTCCTCCCCCGCCCCACCCTGCCTGCTGATATAGAAACCAGTGTTCTGTGAACGTTTGACATGCTCAACGAGGGTACAGGGGTGCACCAACAGAGGAGGAGTGGTTCACACGGTCGGATACTCAGGCCCGGAAGCAGAAGGAGCCGTCGACGGTCAGGGCTGCCACCTGAAGCAGCAAGGGCACGGGGTATGGGAACCATGGAACCCCTGCAATGTCGTCAGTGTGAGTATACAGACAGAAGGTTCCGCACCACACACCCCACCACCAATCTCCAGCCGCACCTTCTCAACGATGGCAGGGTCCCGCCACGGTCCTGGCGGGTCGGGGAGAGGGGCGGGGTTGGTGCCGCCGTACTCTTTGGGGAGCTGGTCCGGGGCGATGTACTCCTGCAGCTCCTCCCTCCAGTTGCTGGACAGGACCTGGTGAGGAGGCATGCATGTGTTTTGTGGGTGTGCTGGAGGGGGTGGGTGCCACATTGCTGCCTGGGCCCAAATGCTCCAGGGTCCTGCATCGACTGGGACTGAAGACTCAGAGGTAGCAGCAGGGTGATGTGGGCACACTGCCCCGCCAAGCACACACAAACCAACACACACCTGCACTTTGACTTGGGTCCTGGTGTCCAGCATGTACTTGACCATGCCCCACATGATCCGGAAGCTGGTCGGGGCATTGATGATGATGGACTTCCACATCAGTTCCGGGTAGTGGGCCTGCGTGAGTTGGCAGTTTGGAGGGGCGTGGAGGGCTGGGCTGGCATGTCAGCCTGGCGCACTTCAGCATGCAGCAAATGCTTCCTCCTCCCGGCCAGCCTATGGATTGTCAAGGCTGGCACCAGGCCCCACCTCAATGCGACGAGCCCTCTGGGCGGGAGATTCCACCTCACCTGGTCGATGCTGAGCACCTTCTGCACGATGGCTCTGAAGTCAGAGGTCAGGGTGCTCACGCCCACACCTGGCGGGGGATGGCATGCGGGTAGGTGGGGGCATGGGGGGCCTAGGACGACACAGGGGTGTGCACCACACAGTGGCAATGCGGTGGCAACGCCCCCCCTTTAAGTTCCGCACCTTGGAGGTCGATGAGGACGAGGGACTGGTCGACGCACCTGCCTGCTGCCACCGAGCATGCCGGGGCAATCAGGTTGATGTAGCGCTCCTGTTGCTGCAGTGGGGCGGGGGTAAGGAATGGATGTGAGACCCGTCGTCGAGCAAGGAAAGAGCTGGTCCCAGCGAGCTGCATGGGTGCGGCACCTGCAACACCCCCCCACCCCACATCACCACAGCGCAGAACACCGCGGCATTACACCTGCACATGGTAGCGCACACATCGCTCTTCCGTGGTGAACTTGAAGAGCTGCTCCAGATCGATGTTCCCCGGCTGCTGCACATACACGGGGCGGCCCGCCCTGTCAACGCCATAGCAGCCTGGTGCGATGAGGGTGCCATGGGGGGAGGGGGGGGGGGTATAAACGTGTGATGCGTGTCAAGCCATACAGAAGTAGCATGGATATGGCGGCGCAGGCGGGCTCCCACCTTACAAGATCACCAATTCGCTCCAGGCACTACGAAAGACCCACCTTCTGGGTAAAACTTGGCAAACTCAGGCTTCTCATTGAACACGAAATCTTGCAGCACCCTGTCGGCTCCATACTCCTCCCTCCACTGCATTGTGCGGGGAGAATGAGGAGGCTGAAGACACAATCGTTTCCTCCTCCATGCTGCGTGCACAACGCTCACCTCTGCATAGCAGCCAGAGCAGCTTTCAGCATCCTGTGCTGCGTTGCTGTTGCTGCTCTCCCCAAACCTGAATCCAATCAAAATCAACCTCCCCGCATACCTTGAGGGTCGACAGGAACATGGCGCGAGCAGCTGCGACGTCGTGCTTCCTGGCCCGAAGGAATCGCCTCAGTGTGAGCGTGTCTGTGAAGATGGTGATAGATACTTGAGTCAAGTGCCGGCCTGCAGCAGGAGACTCAATCCCTATTCACCTGCTGGGCCAGGGGGAGCCCAGGCCTGTGTTTCTCTACACCACTGGCTTACTGTGTTGGGGCGGTATGTTGACGCTGAGCTCCAGCTCATCTCTGAGCTGCTGTATCAATATACCCTGTTGGCCGGACGGGGTGCAGAAGGCAGTTTCCTGGGCAGCCCTATTCTGCACATGTCCAACCACTTCCCTTCTCCCGGGCTACCCCTCCCAACTGCTCCAGCCCCCTACCTCATCGGCGAGGGACACACCCCACATACTGAAACACTCTGCATCTTCCTTGCTGACTGGTATGTAGTCGTCGGCATCCTGCGCATTTGTTGTGGCATGGGGTCTCCATGCGACCTGTGGAATTTGCACTCTACACCCTGGCTACCAGCACGGCTCGTTGGTCCCTCGAGAGGCACCCACCACGCGCACCCTGGTGGTGGCAATAACATCCGGTAGGCTGTTGTATATGGATCGTAGATACGAAGCCATTCCGCCGTGTTCCGGAGGGGCACAGCCCCAGAGGGATGCCCTTGTACCCCCACGAGAGACGCCAGCCCCTGAGGAGAGGAGGCGAAACGTCCAAGCACACAACCGAATGCGTTGGGCGCTCCAAGACAATTTTCAATAACAAATTATCTTGCTCCGAGTACTTAGGCCGAGTAGGTTTCCATTTCCGCCGTTGTTGCGGCTCAAAAATTGACGGCGTTGTTACGTCATCAGGGCGCCGGCATTTGAACACCATTCCACACCATCCAGCAAGGGCAACCCAGCACACAGACTGCCGCAGCACGACGTGCTGCAGGTATGTATTATTGTAGCGAGCACAGGAGGCAACAATTAGCACAATCTGGGCCTGTTCTATGCCTAAGCGGAGCCAGTGGCAGGGTAAGAGGGCAGTGCACGCACGTCACGTCTCCTTCGCCACCTTCCTCTCTGCAATCATCGCGCGGTAGTCCTCTGGGGTGAGCAGCGTCCCGAACAATCGGTCAACAAAGGTGAAGTAGTGTCCGTAGTTCTTGTTGTACATGGTGTGATGGATGGTGTGGTAGTAGGCCCCCATCACAGGGGGTACCTGTGGGAATGGGTATGGGAGTAGTTGTTTCTGTCCCTGTAAAATCCACAGGCAGCAAGGCCAGCATGGGTGTCAATATGAAATTGTGTCCTTCCAATGCACCCTTCCACCCTAAGCTGGGCGATGCATAGACTGTGCTGCCGCGCAAGGAATGCATGTGATCCCAGATGGGCCCCCGGCGGTCACCTTACCTTGCCGTCAATGTTGTCATGGATGTTGTTGGTCCAGATGCCAGTAGCAAAGAGCAGGAGCTCGTGGGTGAGCAGGTGCATGGGCACGAACCAGAGCATGAAGGTGTAGGGACACGCCTGCACGAAGGGAGGAAAGAACCGCTTGGGCACAAGGGGAGTCCGGACCAGGCGCACAAACAGTTAATCGGCCGCCTGTTCTCGATGCACTCAAGCCCCTGACCCAATGACCAGATGCAATGCCAAGCTTGTCACCCATGGGGCTCAGCAGGACACGCACCTGCAGCATGCCGTCTATGGGGTGGAAAGCCAGGCCCGCAAAGGGCGACAGCGTGTGCTCCTTGTTGTACTTGTGGTGGATGTAGTGCAGCCACTTGTACCCCGGCTTGATCTCGTGCAGCAGGCGGTGCGCCCAGTAGACAAAGAACTCCACCGACAGCATGTACGTGAAAAAGTACACTACGTACATGGGGAGGCCCACGTCCGAAACCCTGGCGACAAGACAGGGGCAGCGGAGAGGGCGTGTTGGCTAGAGCAATCGGCTGATGAGAAGACCAGCCGTGAGGCTCGTAAGAACACCAGCCCTGGGGCTAATGGGTTGCACCCCACAGAATCTGACCCGAGCCTGGCACGGGGACCACAACCAGCCTCTCATCCACAAACCAGGTCAAATACATGCCAGAGCCAATCCTCATCCACACAAACCTGCTGTATGTCCTGGTCCAGCCCTTTTCTATTGCAAACTCATTGAACGCCGGGAGCATGGCGTAGAGGGGCATCGAGATGCTTGCCACCTGCGTTGAGTTGAATGTCACAATATTTTAAGGAGGTGCAACATTGTACAGCACGAGCGCAAACCTGGAGTTGCAGATGCTGCCAGAACCAGCGACTTCACCGGAAAGGCATTGTGAGCCAGTCTTCTGCTGAAGTCAACCCTGCTGATTCTTTGTCGGCATGCGGGTGGGACTCCCAGACTGCCAGAGAACCGACACCATACCTTCATCTGCTCCAGCTGCGCACCCAAGCTTGGAATCTCCCCAGGCTTGAACAGCTGCGATCCGAACGCGTAGTATGTGTAGTAGACCCACACGCCGCCCAGCACGTAGTAGAGAATGGCCACCATAATCCAGTTCCGCAGCCAGCTTTGTACATACGGCGGCATCGCCGCACGCCATTCGTTTGGGAGCCAGAAGAGCGCCAGGTTGTCCTTGAAAGCGTTCTCTTCTCGGAACTCTAGCAGCTGCTCTTGGCGCCGGGTGAGGGAGGCGGGCGCGGGGGTCCCCCACGCTTCGACCGAACCGGGAATGCCGGTGCCACTGACCGTCAGGTCCAGGCCCTCACCACGCCCTAAGCCATCTCCCCTCGACCCTAGTTTCCAGACAAGGACGTCGGTGAGAGGGCTGGCGTAGATCGCCACGGCTGTTGCTGCCAGGAGCGCGACCACTAAAGGGCCGGCCCTCATGCTGAGCTGTCAAGGCTGCTGACCACGTCACAGAATGCAAGCAATGTGATCAAAATATGTCAACATAGGGGTATAACTCATTGCAGACCGCGTCCTGGGTTCTGTGGCATCTGTAAGTTGGGGCGCATGGCAACGTCACCCCGCCCCGCTTTCTTTCGAGACACTCGGACTCCTTTTATTCAAAAGATTTCGCTCTGTGGCTACGTAAGGGACACGATGCCTCTATTGGGGCGGAAGAAGTGCCGATACACGTGCGAATTTCATGGTCCCAGAGATTTATTGCTATAAGCTATGTATGTGGTGGACTGAGTGAGCATTTACCATTGCATTTAGTGAGAATCGCTCTGACATAGTAGATGCGCTTTTGCCTGGCTCGGCAACCATGCTGCCGACACCATCCGCCCTCTCCAGACTTGGTCAATCCCCTGCCAGCTTGGACTCAAAGCATGTCAGACAAATGGCGAATGCCTGCAGGGATATTGATTCTCAGCTGGGTGAGAGGATCCTGTATCCAGCATGATGTCTGCATCCTCGAGCCTTCCACACGCTTCAGACCACCCGTTTGACGAATGTACCCTCAAATATCATGCAATCTGGAAACGTGCCTGCAGCAGCGTCATGGGGTATGCAAAGTCCATGGTGAAGCTGTCATCGCCAACCCTCCCAAACTGTAGCACAGTCCGATCCTGCATGGGTACATGAGGAACAGGTGGTGGATTTGCCTACTTCTCGGAACTTTCACCAATGTTGAGTGACATCTCCCAGACAGGGGAGCACCCGGGAGCTTCGTGGTGTACCAAGGAGACATGGCCGCCTTTGGTGCATGATTCCACTGCTTTACGCATGCATCCCTGTACCTTCCCCGCATCCCTGCACCAACCTCATTTTCCGAGGTGATGAGCTGGAAATTCTTCACGCTTGCCTGTGTGACTCGCCCTCCAAAGTTCAAGCAGTATGCCTGTGCACAGGAGGTGCAAGTATGTTGCAGACTGCAGGCCGTTTGGACCATAGGGTACACCCCTGGGTGACGAATCCCAATCATCACCTCTGCAAGCAACTTGGCACACCTGCAGCATTTGATTCCACTTTGGTGGTTTGTTGATCAGATGTATCTCAGTTTTGCTGTTGCCATCTTTGAGCCTGCAGAAGCACATGGGGTGGTTGGGATTGGGATAAAGGTGGGACGTGTGCGGAGGTGTCCATCTTGACATTCAATGATCTTGGTCAGAACATCTTCCCACAACTTCTGAACGTCACCTCGTGCACAACGGCTGAGTACCATCCAGTGAGGGGCGGCGTGCCTTGGGGGTGTCCTTCTTGGGGTCGAGCAGGGGAAGCGCCACGCTCATCTGCGACAGTTTGAAGCGTACTCACCCAGTCATCACAATTTATGATTGCATCGCTGCTGACCATGCGGCAGCGATGCGATCTGGTTGTCAGATGTCGTCACCTTGAGACTCACCTTCCGTGGGCCCTTGGCACCCAATGAGCTCCGCTTGAAACCCACAGCTCCAAGTTCTGAGGATGCTGCACATAAGAAGAAGAGAGGTCGGTGTGAGCTTGGTCAAGTATGCAGCGGGTTCTGGAGACTTGAAGGTGTAGCCGAACAAGACATGATTTGCTGGACCACTTCTTGACCCTGCAGGTACTTCTTAGCAGACTGCTTTGCCTCCTTCTTACACCCCAACGCCCCATTTCCCCAAAGCAAAGCCCAAGCGACCTTCTGTCAAGAGGGTGAAGTCCGTCCCCAAATTGTTGGTGTGGAGTGATCCACAAAGCCCAGGACCATGGAGGCTGAGATCGCCGGCCTCCATCTGATCCCACAGTTTGAGAGGGGAAGGACATGTGGTGCATTCCAATCCACACAAGATGCACTGCGATACGATTTGCAATGTCAATCCTTCAAAGACCACCCGCTCGTGGATGCCTCACCGAGATGATGTACTTTGCTGCTGTTCCTCGTCCCTTTCGCTTGATGGCGGTCAGGATGGTGGGAGGCGTGCCTGACAAAGATGCCCCATCGAGCTCGAGGAGTAGGCTGAACTGCATAACGACCACCAGTCAACAGCCAATGTGATGTATGCATGCCATAGAACTCTTTGAAAGGCCTTGAACTGCAGATCTCAGCAATTCGCACTCTAATCAGGTGTCAGCAGCAATTGATGGCACCCGACAGCTTCAGTGCGATGAGAAATATACCCCTTGCGCCCCTATTGCTCACTGTGCAAGGCTTGAACATGCCCCCCCGATGTCGCTGAACGCGGCATTGCAGGGGAGCAGCGAAAGGTCCTGGCTGGATCAGCAAGTTCCTGGAGAGGTGGCATGACAGGTGGACTGAGAAATGGTGAAGTCCTTTGTGGCAACAAGCTTGGCAAGGCCGCCACACAATTCTGAGGTCTTCCATGAAATGCAATGCCTCTAAAATGCAGCAACGCATGATCCAAGCCTCCTGGCTCAGGAAACCATGGAGCAGATGTTAATCCATCATTCTGCCTGTCCAATCATCGTCAAGCAGGTTTACCTGAGACCCTGCCGGTTGTTGGACCTGATTGCATTCCGAAGGGCAGCCTCAAGGGTCGAACCGGGTTCCTTGCTCCGCATGGGGTTGTCTCTGATCGTCTTGGATTGGGACCTCAGGATGGTTGCTGTGGGTGCCTTCTTCTCTGCTACAGCTACAGTCTCAACCCTGGCCTCGGACAGGGTCCCAGCAGAGGCCGCCATGAAGCTACTCTTGCGCTGATGTGCTGCAGAAGCCGCCCTGATGGTGATTGCAGACTCCCCTGACTCGCCCAGTCTTGTTCCCGATGATGCTGTCAGTGTATTTGCGGTATCGGGGCCGTCTGTCGCTGCACTCACAGACTTGATGCCATTCGTACGAGGTAAAGGCCATGCTGGTATGGCCTGCTCAGGTCTGCGTGTCGTCTGTGGCTGCAACAATGCCGACTGACGTGGAGTGGCAGCGGACACTGTGGCCCTGTGATGGCAACAGACCATGGGTAAGCCTCTGAAGAGGTACCAGCAAAAACACAACAGGTGATACTTCAGTATTGGACTCAAAATCTTGCGCGCTCAGCAGCAGGCGTGCAGGGCTCACCTTGCAGACAAGGGCTGGTAACCGGGCTTGGGCTGAACCCCCTTTGACGGCCGGTTGTACAGCTCATTGTTGTGTGTAGACATTGCTGTGAAATTTAAGGGGTGCACACATGGCTTGGAATCTGATGTGGGACTTGAAAAAGGTATTGCCACCTGAGGCAAAAAGCGTCCCTGTCGAAAATGCCCTGGCCCTATGCGCCCCGCACCTCCGCCGCCGAGATATGGTGAGGCGTCGGCCATCTTCGCCCAAGTCCGAGCGGTGACAGGTCGGACCGGCTGCGACCTCTGTGATTCATGTTCACTATGTTTACCCTCAGATGTTGAGGTCACAGGTCTGTGCCGTGGGGAGTTGGAAGGCTGTCCGGTCAGACATGTTCGTTGCGGCGACTGTGTTGGAAATGACAATTTGAAGGTACACATCCCGGGACATTCAAATCTGAAGCAAAACCAACCACTACGATTCCCGCATGATGCTTCGTGCCTCCTGGGTGTGGCGACAGCAGGTGGACGAGCCCTAGCTGACTGCATCCCCTCAATGACCGAAATATCACAAGATAGATCTGGACGCACTCAAGGCACCTTCGATCATATCCAATTGGATGGGACCGAAATGTTCTTGGTCTCGAGTAGAAATCCTCCGTGACGATCTCAGAGTGATTTCGTTTCCATGGTGGATGGATTTCCCACGGCCGATTCGTGGGAGAGCGCGCGCGCCCGACCAAGTCGATACATGCATGCAGAGGCGAGGCGAGGTACCCGGTCGTGGCCAAACTGATGTATTCCACGAAATAAGTTGATAACAACCGAACAAGATGACGTCCCAGGGTATGATGCTGCGGAACATGGCCCTCGTGGGCAACACTGCCAGCGCCACTATGCCAGCGGGCCACCGGCCTGCGTTCGAGGCCGGCGTCCAAATGCTTTTTCAGCGCTGGACAGCGCTGCAACTGGGAGTTTTAAATGAGTGGGGCGGTTCCAACAGTAGAGAGAAGGCTGCAGGCATCCAGCACGAGGTGCTGGAATGGTTTTATGGCAAGAAAAGTCACGAAATGCTGGACCTGGCAGACCTACTCGACCAGGCAATTTCAGAGGACTTCAACATCCAGGCAGAGGATGACAGTCCGTACCAGGTGTGATGATTTGGGTTGGAGCTCGGCGCCAGAGACTGCAAGGCCACTGCACCCTACATGAAAGCCACCCAGAAGATAGTGGATAGCACCTCCAGCAGGACCAGAGCAGGCACCGTGTCCTCCTCCAAAGATTCACCCCTCCCCCGCGCCTCTTCTTCATCCCAGCTGGCTAGGTCATTGGTCAACATGCACAATCAGGTGGCTCAAGGGAACTACGAGTATGTGCACCAGCTGCAGGCCACCCCAGCAGGAGCGGCCGCCGCCTCGCAGAATGCACAGGTGGGCGGAGCGGATGCGTGTGGGGTCCTGTGGTAGCCCTCCTTGCAGCCTGGATTGCGATGCTGAAAATTCACCAGCTGCTATGCGAGGAACTGGGTCTTCTCCTTGGTGTTGTGATCTTTCGGATGGCCATGGAACCCAGCTTCCCTCAATCCTGTCGAATGATGCAGCCTGCTGAAGAGGAGGGTTCCAGCTCATCAGGCGAGGGCAGCGGCAGCGACGATGAGGTAGGTGCCCTTGGGGCCGAAATTGATCCGAGGGTGCTGCAGTGTGGGTTGTCCAAGGTTCCAAAGGTATGCGCATACTGGGACAGGGTGACAGCTGGAGCAGAGGTTGGTCATGATATGACTTGTACACGATCTCTCACGAGGCATTCGCAACCACACAGCCTGCGTGCATCCTCACTCAATCGTTCTGCAGGGCGAGGAGGGCATGGATATTGATGAGGCCCCCGCCCCGGCTGCGCCCAAGGCTCCGGTAGTAGATGCGGATGGCTTCGAGCTGGTCCAGCGGAAAGGGCGGGGCAAGGGTCGGCCATGATGCTTCATCTGATCGCTGCCTCAGGCCCCATTGTCATTTTGCTGCATCACATCCGCTTGAAGTGCTTGTTACAGGAAGCCTGCTCGCATCCAGGACGGGGCACATGTGGGATGAGAACAAAGGCGAAAGTTCTTCCTTGGACAAGAGTGCTGATGAGATACACAGAGGGGACATGAAACGGTGGTGGTGCAAATCTCACCCTTTAATTGAAAAGGGCGCATGACATGCCATTCGACGAGTGAATCGGCAGGTCGACATCCAGACACGCTGGGCTTCCAGTGCAGGGAGACGTACACCTCCCCAGCCCACCATGAGTAACAGACGATCCACATCACTCTGCCTCGAGGGGGATGTTGAGCCTGGTGCCGCTCACCACAATTCCTCCGCGCTTGCCCACCTCCACCGACCCCCCCAGGATGTCCGCATACGCCTCTGGCAGTGGGAACTCATCAGGAGGCGCCAGCCACAGCCTCAGCAGGTGGCGGCGCAGGTTCGGGTCCTGTGCCGGGAGGAATGGGTTGGGATGGAGTGTCTGATCATGGTGTGGAATGGGCCAGCATAAGTTGTTGACTGTGTGAATTTCTGCACATGGCAGCAGGGCCTGAGCAGTAGGTCCAGAGTACATCGTCAATACCTCCCTGCAGGGGTACACACGCGCAATGGCAGCGGCAGGCCTCACCTCGGCGTCATCAACAAACGCTGACCGGGCATGCAGAACCGTGTGGTTGGAGAGCAGCTGGATGTCACCTGCAAAGAGAGAAACGTCGCACAGTGGGTCAAGTTCGCAGCGTTGAGGGAAGGGCGCAACTGTGACACAGAAAAGCGAGGACGGACTTCATGAATTTCCCAAACATCCTTCCCACCTGGCTGCAGCTGGTAGCGGATGGAGTGGCGTGGGGAGGCTGCCAGCTCGTCAAACAATTTGATGGCCTGTGGGACAGGGAGGGAACATGTCGATGAGTCCTCAAGTGATGAATCATTGCAGGTGAACCATTGTTTAGCACCTCTTGACGCAGGAGTAAAGATGCCCCCCCCCCTGAGCATAGGCGCGGCAAATGTCAGGGTGCATTCTTTAGTCCCAGATAAGATCAGAGGACTCTCCATACCTCGAGGTGGGCAGGGGTCAGACGAGGGACTGCCTCATGGCGCTGGCTCAGCAGGTAGTAGTTCGACGACCAGTTCACGGTGAGGTTGCCCTGTGCAGCGTGGTACAGAATGGAGATGTTGAACATGAGCAGCTCCTACCGTGGGGGTGTTGCGTCCCGGGACCGCGCGGCGCTCCCAGTGCACAGCAATGCCGGCGCACGGGCCGGGCCCGCTTTGTCTTGGCAAAGTCCAACACTTCCACCCCCAGGCAGCCCTCGTCGTCGAACGTTCAATGGCACATGCTCCCTCTGCGCACCAGGAAGTAGTTGAAGGCGGGGATGGCGAAGAAGGGCTGCTTCCCGGCTGGGACCTCGCCCTTCCTGTCAAAGTACCAGTTCTCAGTCATGACGGGTCCCAGGTCAGGGCGCAGCTTGAGGAACTCGTTGTGCACTGCAGCGTGATGGGGCGAGGGAGGTGTTGAACTTGGTGCTCTCCCCGCTTGGTGCATGTGATGCGACGCGCCAGCTCCCAGCGTTGTGCCATTCGCTGCACATGCACGCAGTTTGAACAAAGCAGGCCCCGCAGTCTCCTCAAGTCCTCTCAAACCCCAGCGCCCTGATACCTGCCCATGAAGAGGCCCACTGGCTCTCCCCACCCTGCCGTGCCTCATTCAGGCACAATAGCGCTGCAAAAGGGTGGGTACTTCACCGGTGATGCACTTCCTCGAGCTGGGAAGCTTCAACAAGGGCTGGCAAGTGGATCAGAGTGCAGTCGCAGGAGACCCTCAGGTAGTGCCCATACCCAACCCCCATGCCGATGGGTGCATGTCCGATCACGGCGGCTCACCGACAAGGTCGGCCGCGTCGTTGTGGAAGGGCTGCGCCACACTTGTGGCGTCTGCAGAGGGCAGAGGGGTGGCCGATTCGTATTCTGGAAGATTTTCAAGAGCATGTTGGAGTTAACTGCGTAACAAATAGAATGGGTCCACTGGGCAATCGTCCCTGCATGCCAGACAGGTCCACCACGTGAGAGCGCTTACAGAGTCTGGTGCTGGGGCTTGCAGGGTCGTGTCCGATGTCCTTGATGTGGCCCACAAGATGCCCCTTGTGGTTGTTGGAGACCGCTTTGCCCCAGTGCAGGCCTATGATCCAGTAGGCGGCGACTGTCTGCTCCCGACTCCAGCGCCCGACGGGAAGGCCTGAAATCAGCTGGAACCCACGACCGTGGACCGCCTCAACCCGGAAGCCCGTCAGGATGGGGCCCAGAGTCGGCAGGGACACGTTGTCCAAACTCAGGCCCTGCAATACAACAAGGGCATCTCGTAGGTGATTCGTGCGCCCTGGAGCCGCACATGTCGCTGCACCTCGGCCCTGGCCCCTTTCCGGTGCCCATCCCACCTCGAGGATCTGTCCGGACTCGATCGCAGCGTCAACGGCAGCCTCCAGCTCCGCAATGTGCTCCTCGTTCAACTGGAACCTCCATTCTTCTGGGCGGTGAATCAGCTCGTCGGCGTACCAGACGGCAGGCCCGCTAACAGGCTTCAGAGGCACCACCCCCCTCCTGTAGGGTGCATTGAAACTTGCGGCTGGAACAGCACACGCCAGGGGGAAGTGGGATTGAACCTGAAAGCCTCAAATGAAGTTGTAATCTGGTGAAAAGGGAGTCTCTTACCCTGTTGTCGCCTTGTCGGGAATGGGAAAGAGATCTGCTGCCGCGGGCATGGTTTCGGAATCTACAGGTCAAGTACGACGCACACGGTAGACAAATGAATGTCGGAGGGAGAAGGTTTCGGCCACAGTGGAAAATGTGCTGAAGATTTTGATAGGAAATGTGTAGTCTTCCTGCGTTCCAGGGCACATCGCGAGCTTTGCCAGAACACGGGAGTGTTCCAGCAAGCGGAACTTGGACGAACGAACCAGAAGCCGGGCGGGAGTCGGCCCTGTCCGGTGCCAGCAAAGCGGTTCGGGAGAATCCCTCAAAGGACGTAATGGGATAGTAATTGTGCTCAACGCCCGATGAGAATACCTATGTCCTGATTCGGCAGGCCCTCTGTCACATCGGAATCTCGGTTGAGACTCGCCCCGGATGGAACACGTAGCGAACTCCGGAGGAGCCCGCCTCGCGAACGGGACAGATCAAATGCCGCGTACTTTGCCGCAGCAGCACTCTCTCCCTGGCCTCCATGCACTTCATTTCCCTAAATCCACTTCTCAACGCGTGAGAGATATGGAAACCATGGCCCGAGCTGTCTCAACTGGCCCGTCGATGCAGAGAACCATGCGTACAAAGGTGGTCCTGAACATGGCTGCGGTCTCAACAGGGAGGCAGGTCCACATCCCCACTCCGCTCTCGCACTTGAACTGCCCCTCCTCGCCCATATCTTTCCAGGTGAAGAGTGACACATGAATTAATTGATCGTAAGGTCCTCATACCCAAGCCTGCTGCATGACTCTGCATGGCCAGCTCACCATAGGGGCCTGACGCTGAACACATGCTGACCTCCCCCCCCGTGCCCCCCCCATCAGGATGTGGCTGCTGCCGCAGTGCTCTCCGAGACGGTGTACCGCGCTGTGGACTTTGGGGAAGGCCGGGCTGAAGAAGCCCTGCTCGCCTTGCAGTCTCGCATGCCGGTGCCCATCAAGCTGGAGCATGTTGGGTGGAGCCCCGCAGGGCAGAGGCAGAGGTGAGCTGCACATGGGACTGGAGGTGTCAGCGTGGAGGATGGACTGCAAGGCAGGCTCTGCAGAGCGCAGCCTGGCAATGCCCATCTCGCACAGCGACATGACAGGTCCAGTGCATCTCCACAGGTACCTCATAGCTTCCATGGATGACGCCCTTTACGTCGCTTTCTTAGGCAAGCCATGAGGGTTGGTGCATCAGGCAGAATAAACCCGATGCTCTACAGTGAGATGGGCTCTTTCCTGAACCGAAATTCTTGGCTCCCTTGGATCAGTTGGGGCGCAGCCTTGTGAAGTGGAGTCCGCCCACCCAAGGCATCTCCTCATGCGTCTCTCATGGCACCTCCACACCGGACCTTCCCAGGCACCAAGCTCCCCCGGGACCACATGGCCAACCTGGATGCACGTCTCACACGGCTCTGGCCGGACTCCCCTGCCGCAGCTCACTCTGGGTACTCTGGCCGCGCGAGCCTCATCCCTATCCAGCAGCTGTTTGCCCTGGCAGCCGTCCAGGGGAAACGTCTCGTCCTTGCAGGTCAGGGACGAAGCGCTGTATCGCTTGAGTAGGGCGGGCATATCATTTCATATGGAGCTGAGCAACTGGAAGCCTGCCCTGACCGGCAGCGCACCAATCCATCCTTTCATCGCCCTCCCATCCTGCACACTCAACCCATGCGCGGCCACCCCTACCTGTGCAGGCCACTCCATGGGAGGAGCAGTGGCCACGCTGTGCGCGCTGAGCCTGCTGCGCTCCCTGCCTCTGTCCGCGCACGGGCTGGTGGCATGCGTGGGCTTTGCCACCCCCCCCTTGGGGAACGCACACCTGGCGGGGATGGTGACGGGTGAGGGCTGGGACTCGCGAATCCACAACTACCTCCTGCCTGGTGAGGCCGGAGGTTGGGGAATGGGGTCGATGCGCGCAGCAATGACGGGTCCCTTCGAGTGTCAGAGCAGACCACCATGCACAGTGCTCGGTCCGAGGAGGGAAGACCGTTGATCCCGGGCAGCGCCAAGACTCTGCAAACTGCTCCTCCACCACGCACTCCCACAGACTTCTCCCGCACAACCCCGCAGAGGACTGGGTGCCAGAGCTCATCAACTCTTTGCGCCGGCTGAACCGGCCCCGCGAGGGAGAGCGGAAGGGCCTGGTGGAGGACAGCAAGTACGCAGCCCGCACCGCCACCGCCATCCACGAGCGGGTTTGTTGTGGCACGGGGCCCAGACATCGGCCTTTTTGGGCCGCCCTTTCCCGTCACCCTGCTGCGAGGCGTGTGGGCCTCGCTGCGTGAGGGCTCCGGCAGCGTGCCGGCCGCACTGGTGCGTGGTTTTCCTGGAAAGGGGATCTGGCTCCCATGACATGGCCATGCTCGGGATGGTTCATGTCCCTCTGGGACCCGGCGCCTGCATGCACAGAGCAGGTGTCAGCCCCATCCTGGTGCGGTCCCCCAGCACAGCATGCCCATTCTGGCGAATCAAAGCCCAGCTCCTTCCACTCCTCTGCGCCCTCCCCTCAACACCCGCTCCTGTACTCCTGCAGGCAGCCGCAGGGGCCCTGGGCATGCGACTGCCTGGCTTGGCAGGCGGGGCGATCCGTGCCCTGGGATCGACGGTCCTCCACACCTGCACACGCTTCCTTCCCCTGGCCCTGCTGCCACTGGGACAACAGCTGCACCTGCCCGGCCACGGGCACAGGGGCGTGCTGGACCCAGCGTGGGACCCGCACCCGCTGATCCCGGCGTGCCCGAGGGGCTTCCTGAAGATGCACCGCATGATCAGCTACCGCACCAGGCTCCTGGAGTTGTGCGTGGACTAGGGACCCCGCACGCTGACCGGTCACAAGCCGTGCCCCAACTAATGGCAGTGCTGCGTTCCCCCGCCCATGCGCATGGGTTGTAGCCTGGGATCGAGGGACGGGAAGGAGAGCAAGCGAACCAGCGGAAGGGAGTATGGAGAACTTACACGGAGTGCCAACCAGTAAGGAACTCCCCCAAATTGCTTTAAGATGTCTTCAGATTTCCACGCTTGCACATCGCCGTGCACACCCCGGCGTCTAATGCGAGTCTCAAAGGTGCCCCGCCGCCTGGAACCAAATGCCAGACGCGGGGCATCTGGGGCGCGAGATCTGGCTCAAACAGTTTTTGTGCAGGCTCATGGGGAGGGATCCTGGAGGAGAATCACACGCTCCACAAATATGATGGCCCGTTTGCAGACAACCGGGCTGTCGGGACGACAACATCGCCAGGGAATATGGTAGCCATTGCCAGCGAGTGAACTGGGCGCCATGGCGAGGCGGTGCGGATGGCATGCCCCCTTCGTCCTCCCCCTTGCCCTTTACATGATGGCCATGTTGAGGGGAGGGGCCGGGGACGCCACCCCCCTCACCGAGGCCAGCGAACCGCCCCCCTCCCCGAGTGTGGACGGCTCCACCTCCCTGACGGAGGGGGCCGCCCTCATGGCCCAGCGCAGCCTGTTCAAGCAGTCATCGACGTTGCTCAATACCTGGGATTACCCCGGGAGCGAGCCGTGCCCCAATAATGAGATCGAAATCTCGTCTGGCTGGCGGGGGGTGACCTGCTCCAATGGGGTCGTTGTTGCCATGTGAGTGCCCATGGTGCGGGGAGTGGACGTGTGATCGAACAAAAAGTGCACACGAAATGCCAGTATGTGCGGCCATGATCCTGCACCCTCACATACATCGGCCCTGCTGGACCCCCTCGCCTGGACCTACACCTGCCCCGCAGCACCCCCTCCCGTCGATGTGCTCCGTTCCCCCTTCCCTCTCCCTCTCCAAACCCCGTCCCCAATCGCACCCCCGCCCCACCCAGTCACCTGGAGGACCTGGGCCTTGGGGGTCAGCTTTCCCCTGCTCTTTCGGCCCTGGGCAGCCTGCTGACCATGAACTTGAAGAACAATGGCCTGACCGGCAGCCTGCCAGAGGCCTGGGCCTTCCCCGACCTGCTGTCCTTGAACCTGGCTGACAACGCGCTGACGGGTGCGTGCCGCGCCACCCGTTGAGGAGGGATGGGGATCGTCTGTCCTCGTGCCCAGCTGCTTCGTGGTCGCCGGGCCTGCTGACGCGTGTGTCGGCGCCCGCCCCGTCTGGGAGGGACGAGGGAGGGTCTGGCACAGACCGTGCTCTGCCGGAAGGCACTCCATCCTCCCCCCCCTCCCCTCCCCCCCCTCTGCCCATCGCAGGTTCCCTGCCCGCCTCCTGGGCGGAGCCGGGCGCCTTCGAGTCGCTGTCCTTCATGCAGCTGCAGAACAACAACCTGTCTGGCACCATCCCCTCCGAATTCTGGTCCGGCTCCGCCTTCAACACCGACACCGGTTCCAGCCTGTACGTCCGCCCCGGCAACGAACTGCTCTGCGGCGGCGTGACCACGATCCTCGCGGGCAACACAACCCTGCTCCAGCTCATGGCGCTGGACCTGTTCACCCCCGGCGCGGTCACCACCATCACCAACACGTTGGGGCCGTGCCTGCGCACCTGCACCGCGGCGGACACGGGCGCGGCGGAGATCACCACCAACGTCTTCGACCTGGCCCAGGAGTACAACGTGTCCCTCGCTGACGTCATCGCACTCAATCCCAGGCTGGAGAACCTGCCGGGGGTCTCCGTCACCCTGCCCTGCTACCAGACCCAGTACCGGGGGAACACGCTGATCGGGGGGTCAGACGCGGCCTACAGCCAGGTGCGCCGCCCAGGGGGCAAGAAGGAGGGAAGGGTGGGGGTGGGGGTGGGGGGGGCGTGGGGGGTGGCTCTAGGTGGGTACAGAAGGTTGGGGTCCTTGGAGGGTGGTGCGGACCAGGGCGCGAGTGAAGGCAGGCCTGGCTGGTGCCCCCTGCAATCGCACATCGGGCGCATGGAGCCGGCGGCCGGTGGCCCAATTGAGTTCCCACATCCCCTCCATCGATCCTTTCGCCCATTCTCCCTCATCCACCCCACAAACCCCCTCGCCGCGCAGTTTGCGGGGGGCAACCAGGTGCTGGCGGTGTACCCCGACGGCCCTGCTCTGGCCGGCGCAGTGACCATGCACACGCCCGGGTCGGGGTACACCCCGCACTCCACTCCGGGGTACGCCGGCTCCACCAGCTGGCTGACCGACGAGCTGGTGGAGCCGGTGTACTGGTTCGTGGACCTCACCACGCCGCTGTCGGTGTCGGTGCTGGTGGGCATGGCGGGCGGGCCCACCACCGACCTCGTCGTCTACATGGGGTCGGACACCAGCAACATCACCGCCAACGCCCAGGTGGGCAGCAGCCTGACCCTGGACCTGCCGGGCGCGGTGGGCGCGCTGGCCTTCACCGACGGCGTGCCGCAGACGGGGCGCTACGTGGTGCTCGTGGCCGGGCCGGACGGAACCTCCCCCTTCAACATCTCCGCCCTGGAGGTCTACCCCAAACGTGGGTGCTCGTCTTGTGTGTGTGTGAGGGGGCGGGGGAACTGGCCCGCAGGGAAGGTGGCGTCGTGGGAGGCTGGGAGGAGGGGGGCGCCTGGGCGTGGCCGGGCAAGGACACGACGGCCACGGGCATGGCGGGATCACCACCAGGAGCGCGTCGCACGAGGCCGGCGTGCCGCGCCACGCCTGCCGCAGCGGGCGCCGGGCCCACGCCGTCTTCTGCGTCGTCGGGACCCCAGAACTCCCACCCTCACCTCATGTCTGGCACCCCGGCATCGCAAGCCTGGCAAATCCCCCTCGTCTGGACAGTGTACCTACAAACCAACAAAATCCCGCGTCGCCTCCACCCCCCCCTCCTTCTCCGCAGTGGCCAACGCCGCGGTGAACAAGCCGCTGACCCTGTCCGACGGACGGGTGCTGGAGGGCGGGACGGATGGGTCGCTGGCCACCTGCCTAACCATCCAGCCCTCCGCCAGCGGCACCGCCTGGGTCACGGCCGACCTGGGCTACGTGGCGGCGGTGACAGCGGTGGCGGCGGCGGTGAAGAACACCGCCTCGGCCGCGCAGGCCACGGTGTTCGTGACCAACTCCACCACCGGCGACTTCTTTTCCCTCCCCGCCAACCAGTCCTGCGGCAACGGCGGTCTGCCCCTGGACCAGGGCGCCTACTCCGCCCTGCCCTGCTACATCCACGGCCGCTACGTGTCCATCGCGGTGCCCAACCAGGGCGCGCTCCAGCTGTGCGAGCTGGAGGTCTACCTGGGCGCCGACCTGGAGTGGCCTGCGCCCACGCCCGACGCCGGCGGCTCGCTCAACCTGGCCGCCATCATCGCCCCCACCGTGGTCGGCGGCCTGGTCCTCGCCCTCGTCCTGGCATGGTGCGCCGCGGTCTGGCGCAGCACGCGCCGGCGCCGCCACGCGTCCGCCGCCGCGCGCCGCGCCGGCGCCGGCGCCGACGCCGACGCGGCAACCAAGCCGGGCAGCGCCTCCCCCAGCACCCCCCCCGCGCCGGCGGCCTGTCCGCCGACCCGGAGTCGGGGTCCGAGGACACGGGCTTCCTGGTCTCCCTCGCCGCCAGCATCGGCCTGCGCAGCCTGGGCGCGGGACCGGGCGCCGCGGCAGCGCCTCCTCCGCGGTCTTCCGCTCCGCGCTGGCCTCCGCGCCCTCGCTGGTCTCCCGCCCCACTGCCAGCCTGCGCCTGGCGGGTCGCTGGCAACGGCGTCAGCCCTTCGCCTCGGCGGCCGCGGCGGCCGCCGGCGCGGGGCGCC